CCGCTTTCGAAAAATACCCCGTAAATTGGAACTGCTTTAACGTTTGGAACCAGGGTTCATTCATAACGTGAGCTGCAGCGATAAACGTTTCTTTATCGCCTTCTCCTGCAGACCCTTGGGTTAATAACGGATAATAGTAGTTTGGTCCGAATACATTATAGTACAAGCAAAGAAGCAATGTTCTCAAATGAGAAGTCTTGTTAATCACAAACATACCAGTTTCAGAAGTTGGATTAGGTATGGTACCTTCGAAATCGTGGAACGGAGAATTCTCGAAGTTGTACTCAGATAAGGGCTTGACACCAGATAAGCCATCGCGTTCCGCTTGTTTCTTGTCATAGTCCGAATACCTAACTTTGTTTTCTTTGACCTTCACCCCGGCAATCTCGTAGAACTTTGGGTTGGTGGTACGGCCCCATGCATCCGGCCATAAAATCAAATTCTTTTCTTTATACAAGTCACTTTCAAATATATAATCGACATTTCTAGCTGGGAAATTATCGGAGTCCACATACATGACATTTTCAAATTTGGAACTCAATATTGCCAACATTTTGAGTTGGTATCCACCAAGATCGAATCTTTCCTTCAAGTTGGCAGATAAAGATGAATCAAAGAGATTACAGTGTGCATTATAACGTGGCAATAGTTCTTCACAAAATTCTTTTTCATAATTATCCTCAGCAGCAATAAACAACTCAATCGGCATTTTAGACCCTGTCGCCCTGATCTGCTTTATAACAAGGTACGACAACCAATTAAATCTTTCACCACCAACCAACACGTATCCCGACGATCCCTCGTAAGTCCCCCATTCTGGATCGGACTTCAATATATTACCAAAGGTGGAAATCCCGTAGTTCTCTATAAGCTTGTTCATATGAATGTCCACGTATCTCGAATGAGAATCCTTCAATTCTTGATAAGTCGAATCTGGAATATCCAACACGTTCTCTAATAACGACTTCGAGAAAAGAAAGTCGTCATTCTCTGCTTTTATTTCCGGTGCCTTTTCTGTCTTGTACATACCTTTAATCGATGGTGATTTTGGCATGTATGCTTCCAAGCCGTTAAAGAAGGCTGTGTAATCTCTGATAGACTTCAAATTCGCTTTGTCCTCTCCAACTTCTCCCTTACCTCCAGGTGGGTCTGCAGCAGGTACAACCCTAGAACTAGCATCTCCATTTACCAATGGCTTTGGCGATGACCGATAAAAAAAGTGCAAAATAAGCAAGCAAAATATCATGCCTACCAAAAGACGCGTCGCTTGGCGTCCAAGCAATCTTTTAGGTATCATTTTATATAATTAATATGCCTAAGTCCAGCTATATGTTTATAAGCGCTTTAAACGGTTTTCGATCTTCTTTTACGTGATACTGCCGTAGTTGCTTCTTTCGATACTGACCGTTTTGTGGCATTTTTCACTCGTCGGCAAATCCGGGGATAAATCCATACATTTTTCTAACATCCATACATCAAATTAATTCCGGTTACGGCTAATTCTTTTTCCTAAGTATCAAAAAAAATTTACTCCACAAGTACTATGGAAATTGTCGGTATAAATAGGACAGAAAGATAGGATCTAATAGGATATACTATAGAAGAGTAAAATCAGATAAAATGGCTGACAACTCACCAATTTTAGACAAGTCGAATTTTGAGGAATTAAGGACCAAAACATTTACATTCAGACTCTTTGGGCTTAATATTGGCCACTCTAAATCGCCATTATTGCAAAACTATTTGTTTGAAAGATTAGGATTAAGCTGGAGGTATGAATTGTATGAGAGCTCAGATATCGATGCGTTTAAGAAGGTGTTACAAGGCGAAGACTGCATTGGGTCAGCTGTGACTATGCCAAACAAGGTGGTGATGGCAGAGCATGTTGATTTCGTTGACAGCGATGCCAAGGCAGTTGGGGCTATTAATACGATCTACACCAGGAAGGAAAAGGACACCGGCAAGACGTTATATATCGGTACGAACACTGACACATACGGAATTCGTGATTCGTTTTTATACAATGCACCAGAAGTGGTGAAGAAATCGAAAGGAAGCAATAAGCCAGGTTTGGTGTATGGCGGAGGTGGAGCATGCCGTTCAGCCGTGTATGCGTTAAACGAATTCTTGGGCTGTTCGAAGGTGTATGTGATAAACAGATTTGCTGACGAAGTGGAAGCGGTCAGGGAAGGAATGGTCAAAGGGGGTTTCAAAGGAGAAATCATCCACGTTTCCACCCCTGAACAAGCTGCTGCTTTAGAGAAACCAAGCTTAATTGTCTGCACTGTACCTGATTTTGCACCTCTGACTGAGGAAGAGAAAACGGCTAGAGCCACCTTGGAAGTATTCATTGGCTCCCAAGAGAGAGGAGCTGTTTTGGAAATGTGCTACCACCCTAAACCACTCACTAGATTATATAATGAATTCAAGGCCTCCAATTGGCAGGTTATTGGTGGTATGGAAGCTATGATTTATCAGGGCTTCGCACAACAATCCTTATGGACTGGTTACAGCTTGAACGAAATGCCTGTCAAAGACGTCATTGAGTATGTTTATAAGAATGCAAATAACTAAGTATATATGTATATATATATAGATTCCTTATTTAATAGTAAAACTATTCCTTTCCATTCTAGAAATGATGGAAATGCTTTTTCTTTGAAATTCCGCATAACTGTTGCACCAGTGTTCCCATTCAGGTAGTGATTACGTTTAGCCTGAATCACGCTATTTAAACTTGCTTTATTAGAACTTCCGACTATATATATCGGTATATCGGACTTAGATGCAATATATTGTTATAAAAAGATATATAATACTTTAATAACCTAATCATTATCGATAACGATTAATCGAGTCAGTAAGTTGCTCACAGAAAATAAATTTAGAAATTTTACTATCAAGCTCGTAAGGTTTTATTCATTATTATGTTCAAGTATAAGTGCAAGTCACCATTGGAGCTTTCAAGTATTATGACGAAAAGACTGATGCATACACAAAAATTAGCTGACCTTCCTAAGACTAGTAGCTTTACTAAATATATAAGTCCTGATGGCAGAATACCAAAACCCGAAGATGCTGTGGCAAATAAGGATAATATCATACATGTGCCAAGAGTGTTACAAAAGGGAGGGTTTTCATGGTCTCTTCCAGAAGAAAGGGCTAAATATAGGTATTTGACATCGAGCGACAAAGCGTTGAATGATTTGGGAATAGATTCTAAGGAGGTTGAAAATCCCGAATACCAAAAATTGGTCACTGGTGAGTTTTACCTTGAAAATGAAGACTTCCAGAAGAAAGGATATCCATTTCCATATTCGCAAGCATATGCTGGATGGCAATTTGGCCAATTTGCAGGTCAATTAGGAGATGGAAGGGTTGTGAATTTGTTTGAAGTTCCTAAGAACGTCCCAGATAAGAACAACAGAAATAAATATGAATTGCAATTGAAAGGGGCAGGCATGACTCCTTATTCTAGGTTCGCCGACGGTAAAGCGGTCATAAGATCTTCTATCCGGGAATATATTATATCTGAGCATTTGAATGCTGTGGGTATTCCGACCACAAGAGCTCTTTCCCTATCGTATCTACCTGAGACCTTTGCACAACGTCATAGAGCTGAAAAATGTGCAATTGTTTCAAGGTTTGCAGAACTGTGGGTAAGATTAGGCACATTTGACCTTTATAGATGGAGAAGTGATAGAGATGGTATTAGGGAATTATCCGATTACGTTATAAATGAATTATTCACAATAGATGGAGAAAAATTTGGTTTCTTGAATAAGGTTTTATCGGAAAGAGATGATTTTTTTGACAGTAGTAAAGAAACTATAGGAGAACTTACAGACTATGATAAGATGTATTTGGAGACTATTGTTAGAAATGCATCTACCACTGCTATATGGCAATCTTACGGCTTTTTGAACGGTGTTTTGAATACTGATAATACATCAGTCCTTGGTCTCTCTATTGACTTTGGTCCTTTTTCTATAATGGATAAATACGATCCAAACTTTACCCCAAATTCTGAAGACCATGAACTTAGGTATAGTTATCGTAACACTCCTACTGCGATTTGGTGGAATTTAACTAGAATGGGTGAAAATCTTGCAGAGTTGATTGGAGCTGGATCTGAAATATTGAATGACCAATTTTTTAAGGAAAACGGTATCAAAAAGGAATGGGAAGATAGAATTATTACTAGAGCCACGAAATTGATTGAAGCTGGCGGTGAACTTTATCAGTATGCATTCATTAAGAAGTATGTTGAAACTATTTTTAACAGGTTGGGATTAGAATCGTCTTTGATCAACGTCAAAGATCCAGAAGTCAATCATAAAGAGTTAATAGATCCTATGTTAGATATGTTGCATAAGGTGCAATGTGATTTTAACAAGTTTTTCCTTATATTACAAAGCTCTAACTTAGAAAGCGGTTATGATCCAAAACAAATTGCAGAATCAATCCTTTTGCCTGGCCATAATGCCCTGGAAAGTAAATATTCAACCGAAGAATTGATTGATGAGATTTGTAATTGGTTAAAGATTTACGATGGCTATTTATCAAAATCAGGAAATGCCAAACGGAAATCGATTAGCAAGTACTATAACCCACTATTTTTACCACGTAATTGGATTTTGAATCAAGTCATTGAATTTACGGAAGAGCATAATGCCGAAGACTTATCGTATTTGAAAAAACTTGAAAAGATGTGCTTCAATCCATATGATAAATCAAAATGGGGAAATGAATTGAAAGAGCTAGAGCAAGAATGGTTGTTACAAAGTGATATAGGTACCGATTATTCAATGCTACAATGTAGCTGTTCCAGTTAGAACTAATATAATTGTATATGCTAATAAACGGAATTATTACAAAAAAGCATTAATAAAAGCGATTTTATTATTATTATTTCACAATACTTATAATTTTAAAACTAAAAATTAGAACTAATACTTTATATAGAACTTAACACGTAAATGCACATCATTTTATTCAGCTTAACCACGGAAGGCGCTTTGAGCATCCTTGTAACCCTTGTGGAAAGCTTCCTTGGCTTGTTCTTGAACTGGCTCATCTAAAGAAGCAATCTTCGAATCAAGCTTGTCATTACCAGTGCTGAAACCACCGAGACCAGAACCGGAACCGGAACCTGACCCAGCACTCTTACCTTGTTGACCGTAGGAGTCAGTGTTGGAAGATCCGTGCTTGGATGCACCATATCCTGCAGCACCACCAAGACCAGCACCGGTGGCACCAGCAGCAGCTTCCTTACCGTGGGAGCCGGAGCTGTGGGTGTTAGAGCCATAGGCATCACTACCTGAAGAGCCATAAGCATCCCTACCGGATGAACCATGAGTTCCTGAAGCACCGTGGGAACCAGTAACACCAGAGGTACCAGAAGAACCGTAAGCGTCTCTACCTGAAGAGCCTTGGCCACTAGAACCGTAAGCATCTCTACCGGAAGTGGTACCAGAAGTACCAGCACCAGAGGAGCCGTAAGCGTCTCTTCCAGAAGTAGTACCAGATGTACCAGCACCGGAAGAGCCGTAAGCATCTCTACCTGAAGTGGTACCAGATGCACCGTGGGAACCAGAGGAACCGTAAGCATCCCTTCCTGAAGAACCTTGACCACTAGAACCGTACGAATCAGTGTTAGAAGAACCATGCTTAGAAGCACCATATCCTGCGGCACCACCGAGACCGGCAGCACCAGCAGCACCAGCAGCAGCTTCCTTTACATGAGACCCAGATCCTGAACCTTGAGCAGAGGAACCGTAAGCATCTCTACCAGAACCATGGCCACTAGAACCGTGGGTATTAGAAGAACCGTAGGCATCGTTACCAGAAGAGCCGTAAGCATCTCTACCTGAAGAAGTACCAGAAGTACCAGCACCAGAAGAGCCATAAGCATCTCTTCCAGAAGTAGTACCAGAGGTACCAGCACCAGAGGAGCCGTAGGCATCTCTACCTGAAGAGCCTTGGCCACTAGAACCGTAAGCATCTCTACCGGAAGTAGTACCAGAAGTACCAGCACCAGAAGAACCGTAGGCATCTCTTCCTGAAGAACCTTGGCCACTAGAACCGTAAGTGTCACTTCCTGAAGTTCCCTGAGCTCCAGAAGAGCCTTGGCCACTAGAACCGTATGCATCCTTACCAGAGGAACCATGAGAAGCACCATAAGCACCTGCACCTGCACCTGCTGCACCTACACCTGCTGTACCTGCTGCTGCTTCCTTACCGTGGCCTGAACTACCTGCGGCTCCTGAGGAGCCAGCAGCATCACCAGATTTGCCTCCAGCAAACTTGCTCCCAATACCACCTTCGGTGCCGGATAAGTTTTCACGGCCGAGTACTTGACCTCCCTTCTTATCAGCTTGGTCAGCGTATCCAGCAATTGTGTCTTTGTCTAAGTTACTAGAAAGATTGTCTTTACCGATAGCCTTACCACCTTGCTTGTCGTAGTTTTCAATATCCTTCTTATTGAACTTATTTTGAATCTTATCTGCGAATCCCATATTAATTGAGTTGTATTAAATTAAATATATTAAAAAAGTGAATTATAATATATATGTGATTTTTTTCTTTTTCCATTCTGACAGCTAGGATTCTCCGTTGTTATATAGACTTCAAGTCTTCGTCTACTTTATTGCTGAAGGTATGATCTTAATTGCTACGACTCCAACGTGAAATTATAAATGGTTGCGAAATGCATAAGGGCTCATAGCAATAATAAAAGCGAACAATGTGGATACAATAGCCACCACCGTGCGTTCACTTGCTTTTTTAAAAATAATGTATGTGGCTATGGACCGATGAATACGTGTAGTCACAGAATCGTAAGTCGGAATTTCGTCATAGGTCAAGGGGATGAGATGTGCAATTAATGTTGCAAGATGCAGACAGAACATCATGGAATAAATCTAACGTTCTACGATGCTCCTACATGATGTAATATGACGAGATAAGATCAATTGAGTGTCGAGTACGTGAACAAGCCATAAACGCAGTTTTGGCTTGTTATTATGTGTTGTTCCAACTAGACAATAAAGTGTACTAGGATGGAGAAAAGGAGTGACGCCGGCGAAGGGGAGAAATTCGATGAGCAAGGGCCACCGTGGCGAAGAGCATGAAGAGGTCAATTGGGGTCAATTGGTCTCGGAAGGTATTAATAAAGACATTTTAGAGCAATTGGTATCTTAGGAGGTCAATTGAGGTCAATTGGGAACGTAGGACTTAGTTAAGATCGATTGACATGCTCGGGTTCAATGGATGTGCGTTAGGTCCCTACCCGGTATCATTTAGCCTTACATAGAAGTCAATTGGTCTTTGACCAACTCAATTGGTGTCAATTGGTATGCTACAAACTCAATTGATGTCAATGGTGGGCCAATTGGGTCGTACAGGCTTGAGATGGTACAATTCCAGGTCAATGCTTATAAAAAAATTTTGAGGGATGTGAAATTAGGTCAGCATTCTGCAAAACGTTCGGTGCTGAAATCTAGCATTTCATTCGTGTAGCTGGACAACCAGCTGGATTCTTGCAAGGACACGTATTCTTGGGACATTCGGTCGGAATGGTCTCGGTTACCATCGAGAAGATGTGGAAGGCGATGATATTCATTAGAGCTGATTCGGGTCAATTGATTAGGTATGTACTTCGGTTAGCTCAACACATTAGATACGTTATTGGTATTAATGTCAGATTAACCTAGCAAAACTACTGGCATTAGAAATAAAAATCGTACAATCAACTACCTATTTTTCAAAATCAACAGGAACTTTTATATGGACAGTATCTCCATTAGAAAGGCTGATGCTGATTTTCAAATAGTAAAACCGGCCTATATAACAAGATTGAAAACTAGGAACTAAGTTAAATGCATCGAATGCATTATTATTTTTGAAGGTTCCTATTACTTTAAGATGGGCAGTCACAATATCCATCAATAAGTCAAACTTACATTTATACACCAATTGGGTATCGTCGTGACCAGCAGAGTCACTATCTTGATACGTCCAATTCAAGTTCGACAAGTTCTTCGAATCAACACTTTCTGGCTCTTCACCAGAGATTTTATATTGCAACTGCTCCAACTGTAAATTCATATGTTTTTCCTTGAGGGAAGAAAGGCAATTAATATCTTTTACTAACAGGTTCTCAAGTTTAAAAACGTCTGGTGGCAATTGCTGAAATATTTTATGTATTTCCAGCCGATAACATTTAAATTGTGACTTGACAATAGATGAAAAATCATCCAGATCACGTAAACCACGATCCTTCAAAGCACTTTCAGTATTCACTTCGTTCTTAAATAATAAATCATGAGTAATTTCTATTGGTATAGGGTAGTTATCAGATTTGATCGATAAAACTACTAAATCACTTTGGATAGATTTTATTGTGGGAAGTTTTTTCTTCTTTCCAAATAATAATTGAGGAATACGGAATGTCAATTCAATTGGAACCTTTAGATTCCAAGTATCTAGGTCCGATTGACCTACATCGATGCCCCTTCGAAATTCTACTGGTGTAATATATTTTAAGATGTATTCCAATTTGGGAGTTGAAACCTGCAACGTACCGATAGGAGTTATCGATCCTCTAATTGACCTTTTTGTGTATGGTGAAACAAGATTGTAGTTTTGCTCATTAAATTGATCGATTACATCTCTTTTACATTCAGCTCCACTTGTGGAATGATATAATTGATTGAATTTGACTTGATCACTAGAGGCTTGGCTCGATAATTTATTGACTAATTCAATTGCATTGTCCATTTTATTGGCCTCAATTGACTGTATTAATTCATGGCCAGTTTTAATTTTCTCTTTACTTCGATGTATCAAGTTGTTGTAAAGTACTTGACTTCCTTTCCTTTTTATTGCCTTTTGATCTGGGGTCAAATATCTTACTTGTGGTACAATCCTAAGAAATCTATTAGTTTCTTTCAAAATGACATATTCATCTCCCTTTGAGTTGATAAGAACAGGATCATTTCTTTTAGATAGGTTAACATTATACTTCGAAGCTCTTCCGATAAATCTAGCCTGTACACCGTAGCTTATAGATGTATCGATAAAGGAAAGTGACTTGGTCTTAGAAGCGTCAGGTCTATAAGTTAAATTAGCATAATCCTGTGCCCGTGATTTTCCAAGAGTGGGTGGGATTTGAGTATGATCCAGTAGACTGTGTCCGCATTCTGAATCTAGTAAGTTTTCGGGGATTTTGAAAGTAAAGAACCGCTTGTATGTAACACCGGGAAGCAATTTTCGATCTGGAAATGCCATTTTTGTATCGTCATATGTATCTGTAATCAAAGGGCATTCGTATGCATTTGCATATTCAGTAATTAGCCTATTAATATGTGCGTGGTTCCACGAAGCGCTGAAATCAAACATTTGCAAGAATTTTTCAACCCTTGTTGGCTTCCTATCGTTTACATCTAAGGAATTCGCAACCGTAAGATTACCCTCAAATAATACGTAAAACATATCAAATGAAATAGGTTGATTAGATTCATTCGTTATAAGGACAAATCCATTTATTAGATCTCCCTGTTTATACTCATGAAGCAGCGGATCGATCAAAATCGGCTCTTTACCTAACTCACCCACTTCTTTCGTAAATTGAATTGATATTTTCACAGCATTTGAAACCTCCTTATTAGAATACGTTAAATTGGTAAGTTTGTGAACATTATCAAGAATTGTATCCTGCCACAGATTGGTACCTTCATCCGCAATTATTAATCTCTGAGAATTATCATTACTGTCTTCTGTTTCTCTCGTTGATGGGGAAGAAGACCCTTGCGCAACCGTGCTATTCGACCGCGCCGTGGACACACTTGACAACCGACTGGTAGAATGAATTGAAGAGTTTTCGTACGATGGAGGCTCTGTCAAACTTTCATCGGAAACATTGAAACTCTTATATATTGTGGTTGTATACATATGATACGAAGGTAGTATATTCCACACTGGCGCTTCATTAGTACTTTTGGTCAATTCTATATCTTCTTGACTAAAATAATTATGATTATCACCTGGTGGTGAAGAACTATCAACATCTATAATATGAGATTCATTAGGCGATAAGTCTTCTCTTGATCTCGATACCATTGAAATCTATATGTGGTTATATTGGATATTTATATATATATTTCAACTTATAGGAAATGAGAATGTATTTATTGTAACAAGAGTATATGATAAGAAGATATTTGGATATATTTATAGTACGAGTAAGCAGGTACGTTCTGACTTACATTATCGTATTTAGTTATCGTAATTGATTAGATTTGTAATCATGAGTCACTTAATTAATTTGACTGCGAAATCTAAATAAAATGTACTGTATGATATTCCAATGGATTCTTCACTATTCTACAGTAATTGGCACATGAATAGTCATATCCTCATTGTGTAAATGAAGAATGACACGCACGTAATACATCCTAACCAATTTACACGATTGAAAGCTGGGAAGTAAACAAAAGCTCCCAAATCTGTTGGATTTGATGGCTTTATCCAGATCTTTAATATACATCGAGTTTAGGTTAAGGTGTAGCTGCATAGCTCTTGTATGTTGGCCTTTTAACAGGCGAGAAGTATCCTTAGTAACGTTCGTATCTATCGATGTAGTAACATATGACGTCGATAGATAGCTTAAGCATTTTAAATCGGACATTGATTGAGGATCTGGGGTAAAACTGGGGATCAGTTTTCTGAGCTTATTTATCTCTTTAAGCAACATAAGAGCTGGTCTTATGAGCAAATCATCGAAGGTAAGATTGGTCTGTTTCAAGAACAAAAGATTGTGATCTATTTCTTGTGGGATTGAATAGTCGGTGGAATTAATTGATACAACCACTAACTCACAAGAAATCCGTTTAATTACAGGAAAAGGTTCAGTGTTCGAGTCGAAAACCAAATCAACTGGAATCTCTAGCGATTGTGGAATATGGCATAGATGTGGAGGATAGTACTTGAATTTGTACACTCTATTGTGCACATTGGCCGTCACTCTTCGATTCTTCAGTATAGCAGAAAATTCGTTACTCTCTGTATTAGTGAATTGAAGTTGATCTACATAGGAACCGATCTTGTATCTTGATTTTAAATATCGACCACTGGTCGAGGAAAGTTCCAGATCAACTTCATCAAGCAAAGATTTACACAAAGAATGTAGCTCATTATTACTGCCCTTCACAGGAAGACCCACCCTAGGTATTATTCTTACCGGCCTGCTAATATCTGCTAATATATAGTATTCGTTATTTTTATTGCATATCAATGCGCTTCGGATGCTATATCTTATTAGTGCAGGCATTAAATCATTGATATCCTCTCCACAGCTTGGTGGAGTTTGTAAATGCTTTCCCAAGTGATTTCCGCAAGCACACTCAAGCAAGCTCGAAGGTACCCTAAACGTGAAAAATCTCTTGTACTTGATCTGAGGCAATAATGTAGTTCCCATAGTTAAATAAGTTCCATCATCCGGATCAATGAGTGTCTCAGCACCATCGTAATTCAATGATGCCTTGAAATCTATCATTTGAAGAAATTTATCACATTTGCGATCTTTGCCATAAATTCCCTCGAAAAGAACATAATAGACATTTAATGGTATTGACTTGGAAGTTAAATTTTCAATAGTAATATACCCTCTTATCGTATCTCCTTGCTTATATTCTATTGTTTCATTGTTTAGTGCTGATTTACCTGTTGCTTCTATGTCATCTTTGGTGAAGAAAATATCTTGCTTTACCATATCTTGTAAAGAAGCTAGGGAATCCAAATTATCAAGCACTGTAACCGTATTCTCTGAGCATGAATTAAAAGACTGAACGGATATAGTAGGATCAAGGCATGCTGATGAATTATAAGCCGGTGGTTCATGATGAAATTGGTATACTTCGTCTCCAGGATTTAATTTTTTTTTAACTATGCCTTTATCCATATGATAAGAAGGCAAGATATTATAATTTGAATTATCCTGTCTATATCTCGATATTATATCTTCTCTTTCAGTTCCCTTTGAGAACATGATTGTTTGCTTTAACTAGAAGACTTTAGAAATAATTAATACTTTAGTATCGCTTACGGTACTCGAGGTTTCCAGTATGATGACAAGATCGAGACACATTTTCGCGGGGTTGAAACTGATATTTACGAAGAGATAATAAAATTAATTACTTCATTCAAAGACTTCTAAACACATTTATATATACATATTTATATTCTATCGTCTAACGACCGAATTTCTTCAATTCCCAGTATCTTAACCATGGAAAAACGATCCCACTAAGGCCCATACATAACCACATTGCAATATCACCTCCGAACTCACCTCCACTTAATCTTGCTAAAGGACCGACCCAATAAACTTGGGCCATGCCAATAGCAGCACCTGCAGCACCGACAATGAATGCTGCAGTGGATGCTAGACCTCTACTCAATTTCTCATAATCATTCCAGATCTTGAAGTTGTAATATTGGTCATGCCTCGTTTCCTTAGATGTAATTAAGCTAGCACCCGAAGTTAAAGATTGCTGCAGATCATCGTCGGCAAACTCCCTTGTGTATAAATGAATAAACCTCTTTGACCTGAAAATCAAGTTCTCTTCAAGTAACATGACAAAATACATAGATATCCAGTAACCAACCATTGGTAAGAAATTCCCTAAAACAGTAGCCAACTTATTTCTTCCGACTAACGCACAAAGAAGGTATATTGCTGTTAATACAATAGCCCATATCCATCTTGGAACTCTGGAGAACCCAATACCTGCTAATTGGACGCCAAATGCTGCCGAATAAGTATTTATAATATTATTTGAGACCAAGGATAAGAATATTACCATGAGCAAAAATTTCCCTCCTGCTCCCCAAGGTTTAAAGGCTTCATTCAATAGACCTCCCATTCCGTAAACTTCATACACATCTCCCCATGGCTTGTATGATAATGCAACATTACCAATGAGTAACCCAAGAACACCAACAAAACTTGTTGGCACTAAAATACCGAAGAACGTAAGGCAATAAATTTGTACATCAGGGGTATTTTCTGGGAATAATATATAGTAATCGGAAGCAATAGAACCCCATGTTGCGGTAGTTGAGTATGCTAACGAAAAAAATGATAACCAGTTGCCTTTAACTGCATCGGACATGTTTCTGATATCTTCACCGTCGAGATTCGATAAAAGGTGAAATTTTTGAGAAGCAACAACGTACAACAATAAAAACGATACGTTTACGGGTATACTCAAAAACGTTTCAACTCTCAACAAGTGTTTAATGCCACCGATTGCAACGGATAAAGATATTATGGCCACAATAATAATACCGACAACAAGAGGTATCTTCCCGTCACTTACACTTTGCAATATTTGGCCTCCAACGACACTATTGACTACAGACCAACCCATAACCCCAATAATACTAACAAGACTGACTAATTTCACAAACCACCACCCAAATAAAAATCTAGCACTTACCATTTGACGACAACCTGATCTTGGGCCCATAAGTGAACAGTAAGCAGCGATACCGCATCCGATTGCTTGGCCAACCAAACTTGATACTAATGATTTTTCTAATCCTAATTCAAAAATTAATGGTCCCAATAAAAATGTAGACATAGAACTTAATCCACCACAGGCCGACAACCATAATCCAATAACAGATATAAATTGTTTGATTTTGTTTGTGGATCTTTCATATGGTTCGATTCTTTCTATACCTCTCGTCTCTATTCCCAAAGCATCTAATTTTTTAGATAATGTTTGGATAAAATTCCAAATTGATGACGACGAATTTTCTGATTCCTCTGTCGGAATTGTTTCCAACGCAACATCTTCCTTCAGGCTAGAAGTCTGTACCTTTTCTGAGTCCCTTTCCATATCTTTCGTCGTCATTATGGATATCAAGTATAAAAAAACTATAAAATCTAAACCCAATGACTCGTTCCCAGAACTTTTTTTTAACAGTTCTGCGGCTGAATCCTATTGACTCAGATATGACTCCAAATTCAGTACAAAAAATACATAAAACCCGTATCAATTTTTAAGTTCAAAGTATGTATGTAAAGCTATTATATATGTTCCATCATATTCCATCATATTCCTTGTAGTTAATCTTGAAATTTGAATTTACATTCTCCTACGTTTAAAAACCTGATTAACTGACTCTTATACTTTTGACATAAAAAATAAGAAAAAAAATTTAGTAACCCGACGCGGGGGTCGAACCCGCAACCTTTTGATCGCTTCTCTTTAAGAGTCAAACGCTCTACCGATTGAGCTAGCCAGGCTGCTAATCTTGAAAGGAATTACTACGAGTTTAATATAAATTCTTCATTCAGAATATAAACACCATTTAAAGCTTTAATCTACCTTTAACTACGAGCTGATTTCTAATACAAAATATTATTTGAAATTGCATTATATCCGTTGCTCGGTTATCCAGTTAAAAGTATAAAACTGTTTCTGGAAAATATGTGTTATTTTGCTACAATGCTCAAAAAGAGTCAATAATAGGAATTTGTAGTGTCCCGATGTAGCTCAACCAAACTACAAAACCTTAAATTGCGAAAATACCGAACTAAAAAATCACACATTACCTGCAGTTCCCATAATAGCCAAGATCATTATAGCCTCTTAAGCAATCCCTTAGATTGCATCATCAGGATCTGATGCAAGGTATCTTCTACCCAAGTAACGATAGGTGTGGTAACTAACAACACATGAAACATGTTTCGAGCATGTATCTAATGTCTTGCTATTACTGCCGTTATGGAAAAGCAATTCTCGCATTGTTTACGATGTCATATAACAATCCCGCTCCTAGCCAAAGCAAGTATATAATAAGGTGTCACAAACAACAATTACGCCTTTATCTAAGGCGCTGCAACGAGTGCTCACCAGTTATCAAGGGTCGGCTGGTAGTGCGAAACTAATGAACAGTACCTGCGCATCTTCATACATAGGTTTAGATAAGCTGATCGTATAGTTACCTACAGCGTAATTACAGTTTACGTCATTAGCACCATCGTTGCTAATCCATAGGCCTATCTATGTTGATCCCCTATCTCAAGGCCATCGTAATAAGGTGAAAACCTACAGATTTGCCTGGATCAGGAAATCGCACGGGGTTGTTTCTTACTAAAACATACACACACCCAGCGGTAAAATCGCCAGCAACCACCAAACTGCACCCCGTGTTATCAATTATATGTGCCACATAATAACACGCTGGTGGCTATGGACGATTCTACGCAGGTGAGTGTTAGAGGCTTTATCTTCAAGTTGTGGTGAACATTCCACTTCTACGGGTGCTTCGATACATAGATACTATTATCATGCACAACATAACCCGGTTGCTCCGACTTGTTAGTATGACTATCAGAATAATATGAATTGTATCTTCTTTAACTCAGATAATGTAGATAAGGTTGATTCATTTAGCTCATCATATAATATACATACAGATAAATCATCCACATATCTTCGTTCTAAATCCACTCGTGAATACTAATAAACAAGAGACTGCTCAAATATATATCTGAAAGTCTAGAATAAGAACATTATATGTAACCCGATGTAGACCTTGTAACCTAATACTCTAAAACAAGTCAACCACATAAGAAAACTTTACCTCGCCGGGTTAAGAAAACTTTTTCTGCCGGAAAACCGAGTGAGAAATTAGAAAATACACATGTCCGGGTAAACATTACCGCACAATCGGGTTATTGGAAGGGATGCAAGTTAATATAAATAACTGCATTATGTCCATAATTTCAAATTCTGATAGTGAACCCTATACTATTGCCTGTAAGCTGGGAAACATGATTCAGTATTTGGAACTCATAGAAAGCAAGGTTACTCTAGTGAGTAATTCTCTCTTACTTATCATCGTTGTCCCACTTTTATTGGTGGGTATAATGGACGCGATGACTTACATAGTAAGCGTCAGCTTAAACTACACATTGAAAAGTGCCGCAAGCGGTAAAAGTTCGAAACTGATGTTATTAGAAAACGATAAATACTTCAAGGCTTTGAAGGAGTTCAAGATCAAGTCGATCCACTGGTCGATCAAATTTTTTGAAGATAAGCAATTGGATATGGCCAGAAACTTTCATCAAATGTTCATTTCAAGATTAGTCAAGGTGCGGAAGGAGGATTGAGCTCATGAAGGCTACGTCCGTTTTAGTTCTATGTCGCAGGTCGGTAAATTGATTATTCTATCTTCACATATTTACTAGTACTATTTTATTAGTACACTTAATAGAGGTATACTGAGTATACTGTTATTTATTATTTGTTTTACTTATTTATTATTTATTTATTTATTTATTCCAAGTACTATTGGATTTAATTCTTGGTTTTCAATCAAACATTCGTTTAGTATAATTCAATGAAGTGTAGTACCGGGTGAAAACGGCCACTCTAGTAGTTTGATCTTTTTCCCGTATATATGCGCGGGACGCAAATTTGTGTAAAACTTTATCTGAGCCCTTTTACAACTTATTCTGTATGTAGAAATATTTTCATGTAGGAGCAGACAATAACATTTCTTTACAACAGAAAATCAGGTGGTGAGAGAATAATGGCCGTCACAGAGTCGAAACAACCCGAGGTAACCCACCTTACCAATGGATGTTACGTATTGGAAGGTCTGCATGAAACAAGCAACGGGTAAACTATAGGCTACGAACCTACTTTGTGGGGTGTAAGCGAACAAAAGGCGTAGGCGAATTATCTATACAAAAAGATTCTTGTGCGGTCTTGAAAAAGACCCTATTGTTAATAGATCAGGCGTGCGGCATGTGGTCCACTCCCCCAAATCCGCTCAATTTCATCTCATGAGGTGGCCGAGGTACTTTCTCGTAGTACTCGCAAGACGCGTCGCTTATGTGATAGTAGCTCCAAGTCCCAGCGAAGCACTAGTATTATAGGTCTATTTTCAAAGAGACAATAAATGTCAGCCTTAGTTGCGAATTGGGTTTGTAGTGCTTTAGGTTGCGATATGCAAAATGGCAACAAGCAAGCATGATATGTTGGAGTCAATTTTGTCGCCAGACATATGACTTCGTGGCCAAGTTGGCTAAGGCGTGAGACTGTTAATCTCAAGATCGTGAGTTCGACCCTCACCGAGGTCGTTTTTTTTTTATTTTTGACACAATATAGCACTGGCGCACGTCTTTTGTGATGCTTTTCTAGGTCAACTTATACCTTATACTCGACATTCATATATTCAGTATCTTATCATAACAAAATTTCATTCCTTATTATTATCTCACGCCGTCTCTGAATTACCTACGCTTTAACTACGCCTGCTTCTACTTCATCTAAATTCAGGTTTCATCTAAATTTAGGAGTAAAAACATCTACCCTTTTTTCGTATACGTAGCTAGCTGCAAATTCTTCGTTGTGTGCCGTGTGAACAATACGTCTCTTTCTTTTGGACTCTACTGACCTATAAATAAAACGTCTTGACTTATTATTCTCGTGTTGACCGTATGGGTGCAACATTCTCGTACATCATCACTCTTTTATTGTACTCTAGACTGTCATATGTAGTATTCAGCCATTAAGTTATAACCAAACACTACATAATAGTCCTAATTGAGCCTATCCTATCTTGAGGCATTGTCTATACTGTATATTGCTCCTGAAGACCAGAATAGAGGGCTTAGATATCGGGTGATGGTCGCATGGTTTTACTGATAATGAGTCTTGCTTACTTAATCAAGTCAACGATGCCCACGTTGGCTGCAATATTGATTTTTGACCTATAAAGAAATAGTATCGATCCTAATACGATTGCTGAACGACTATTGTCTATATTTATTGAGTAACGTGGCCAGCCATAATAGTTAAGTATTATTACGTTGTACCTTGCTCTCCTAGTCTCATAACTTATTTAAATATTAGCCATCGCCAGCATCTTAATTTGAAAATTAAATAGATTACATATTCCTTTCCCTTTCTTTAGTTGATTTTGAAGTAATTAAAATTATCATTCTTGGGATTAGCATCAACTCTCAAGTTAGATATTTATTCATACCAGTTACTTATTCAACTTAATTTCATTCGTTTTTAAAAGTCGTGTGCTTTAATTAGTACAGTTAAGATTATAATATGGGATTAGACAACATTATATCACCATTGTTACAGACCTCAAGGTCCAAAAGAAAGGCTATAGTATTTAGCATCCTTTTGTTATGGATTGTAATTATCAATTTATGGATACATAATTATAAACACCAACATGCATTTAAGACTGTTACAGGGTCTATTTACGATACAGTGAATAATTTGTCATTCAATAGTAACTACGATGCCGACAATAAAGAAAATCTCTTGGATGATGAAACCATTAAATATTTCATGAAAGCCAACGATATTAAAGATGTGAGATCTATCGATGCGCATTCCACCACTTACGACTTAATGTTGCGAAACCATGGCCTCAACAGTATGTTGAAGGACTTGCCATTCAATGAGAGATGTGACTTATATTTCAAGAATTTATTTACCACAGACATGAATTGGTATGTAGATCCTAATAAGGACTTTCACTTAGAAAACAGATATGAATACAGCTATGACCTGTTCAGGAATAACAAACTTAACGAGGTGAAAGAAGCATATGCTAAAGAAAATGGCATTGACGCTAAATTAGTTGAAGATAGTGCTGTTGAACATCGTGTGAAATTGAGGTATGATACTTTCTGGAAAAAGACTATGCAAACAGAACAGATGATGACAGACTATATTTCGCATGTCAGAATATTCAACAAGTGTTACTTAACATCCGATAATCAAAACGAAGCTTCACAAGCGAAGAAATTGGCAGCTGGACAAAGTAAGATGATTAAGTCTTTGAGCGAAAAAGATTTGATCAAAGATGGGAAAAGAAGATTTAAGCCTACGGCGAAAGAATCGTTATTAAACACTGATAGTTTTGAAGCGTGCACAGATTTGGAATCCAGAATATACAAATGGCTTTCATTTTCATTCCCCATTTATGAAAGATTCACAGGTGAAATTGTTTTAACACCACCTGATTTAAGCAAATATGTTTATCATCCTGAAGTTTTCAAACCTACTAATCAAAAAGTTCATGATGCTCGTGGTAAAGCAGGAAAAATCAAATCCAAGTTGACAAACAGCAAAGCATGCTTTTTGCAGAGATTTAAGAACAAAATGAACGGAAAAGGTATCGTATTATCGATAGGAGATAAGCATGTTAGTGATACTGTTAAATTGATTCATTTATTGAGAGCATTGAATAACAAGTTTCCAATTGAAATCGTGTACAATGGTGGTATCTCTGAAGCATCTAAGAGCCGTATTGTCACTGCTGCTAGACAAAGGTTCATCGATTTACCTAGTTCCTTTAAAAAGATAGCTCACCATTTACCAGACGATTACTTTGACGATTCGGATCATGGGTTACCAAAGCAAGAAGTTTGGTTCGTTAACGTTCAAAACGTTATCCATGATCATTACAAAGAGAAGTTTGATAAGTTTGCTAATAAATTCTTAGCAGCCTTGTTCAATTCATTTGAAGAGTACATACTACTCGATGCTGATACCGTATTACTCCAGACTCCAGATTATTTCTTCAATCTCATGGGTTATAAGAAGAGAGGAGCTTATTTTTATAAAGATAGAACCGCTCCCGAATTCAGGCCCCTGGGTGATACTAAATTCTTTGAGAAGATGACTCCATCAATTATTGATCACGCAATGTTCAATATTCCTATTGTTACGAGTCACACATTAGATTTGAGTTTCTTTGATGGTATGGGACATTTCATGGAAAGTGGGTTGGTGGTCATCGATAGAAACTTACATTTCAACTCCATTTTAATGATGATGCAATTGAACTTCATGAATCCAGTCACTTCAAGAGTTTATGGTGACAAAGAAATATTTTGGTTAGCATTCGCTATTAATGGGGACGAAGGTTTCGAATTTAATAGATACCATGCCGCCGCCATTGGTGTAGAGACTCCTATGGAAGATAGAGTCGGCTTGGAAGGTAAACCATTGAAATCAAAAGAAATATGCTCTGCTCATCCGGGTCATATCAACGGGGAAGACGGTAAGACCTTATTATGGTTCAATTCTGGTTTCCAATTCTGTGGTCAAGCACCCGAGGTAGATTACGAAAAAGAATTTAAGTTTCATACCCGTGTTAAATTCTTGAAAACTATAGAGGAAATGAAGATTTTCTTCCAGAATCCAATCATTCTTAAACACGCGATTGTTCCTCCCTTCAAAAACAAATTAGAAACATTATGTGAAAATACAGATGGAGAGCCAAAGGAGGCTTGGTTCATGGATAAAGGGTACTGCAATTCCTATTTATGGTGTAGTTATTCCCTTATTGGTGGTCGTACTGAGGACGGTGGTGACAATACGCAGGTCGGTAAATTTATCGAATTTGATCAAAAGTCGATAGATTTATTTTCATACTACGGTGATATTTGGGTTGGCAATGAATAGACTCAATTTTGTACCTCTCATCCTTATTTCTTCTAATTACCTGTTGTACTATAATATATGTAAACTAATTTTGCAATCGTCCTGACGTCAAGCGCGTTGTGGGTTTCCTAATTTGGAGAATATGATACAAGCGCTATCAAAGGTTGGGGTTAGCTCGAATAGGAAATTCTACCCGGATACTTATCAGTATATATATTAAGCAGTATCCCTTTATAAGTGAAACCAGATTTCAATTCCCCTATAACCACTCATAGCGACTTATAGTGACTTATAGTGACTTAGAACCACGACCGAGTATATTTTAATATAGGAAAAATGACAGCATCGTTTGAACAATTTTTGACGAACGATCCACTCAATACTTATGAAGACTTAGATAAGTATGAAAAAGAATGGAAGCCCAAAGTTGAAAATTACAGGAGACTTTTGGAGAAAGGCATTGTGCCCGAATACAAAATTAAGTTGCCAGGATCCATTGAATCATTGGCATCACAAGGTTTTAATCCCTTAAAGTATTTGCACGAAGCTAAACTTTTGAGTGATAAGGAGTTTGAAATCACTGATTCCACAGCATATGCATTAGTAGATAAAATAGCACTGGGTCAACTCAGTTCAGTGGATGTATTCAATGCGTTTGCTAAGAGAGCAGTAATCGCTCATCAATTCACCAACTGTGCGTTAGAGTTGTTCACCGAGGAAGGGTTGGAAAGGGCTAAATATTTGGATGACTATTTCAAGAAAAATGGCAAAACCATTGGTCCATTACACGGATTACCTGTATCCTTGAAGGAGCAGATGAGCTATAGGGGGAAAGTTACTCATGGTAGTTATGTTTCGAAAATTACTAATGTCACGGAAGAACATAGTGTTACCACACAAGTTTTAGAAAATTTGGGGGCTGTTTTCTACGTTAGAACGAACCAACCGCAAACATTGATGCATTTAGATTCCAATAACAACTTTATTGGCCTTTCTAGGAACCCATACAATTTGGGATTATCCCCGGGTGGGTCTTCTTCAGGTGAGGGTTCGATTGTAGGATTTGGTGGATCTCCATTAGGGGTGGGTACTGACATCGGTGGATCAATTCGAGCTCCCGCCGCATATTCTGGATGTCATGGTTTAAGACCTACTACTCGTAGACTTTCTACTCGTGGTGGTGTTTCGTGTAACTTGGGTCAAGAAAGTGTCCCTTCTGTTTCTGGGCCTATGTCGAGATCAATTGATGACATTGATTTGTACATGAAAACTTACATTAATCAGGGTAAGCCTTGGGAACTTGATGCCTGGTGCATCCCATTGCCATGGAAAGAGGTGCTGAAACCAGAACCAAAAGATCTTACTATTGGTGTTATGTACGACGATGGGTTAGTTAAAGTATCCCCTCCAATTCAAAGAGCCATGAAGCAAGTAATTTTGAATCTTGCGAATGCGGGAGCAAAGATTGTGGAATTCAAGCCAATTAGAACTGCAGAAGCTTATGACACTATTAATAAATTGTACAGTTGCGACGGAAACTACATGCAAAGGAAATTATTGGGAGATTCAGGTGAACCATTAACTAAATTAACAAAATGGTGCTTGAATTACGGTGATGGTGATAAAGTATATTCTGTACCTGAAAATCGTAAATTAAATGATATCAGAGATTCTTTAAGACAAGAATACACTACTTATCTTGTAGAAAACAAAATTGATTTCATTTTATGTCCTACCTATAATAATGTGGCACCACAGCCAGAATGTGTGTATAATTGGTCATACACTTCGTTGTTTAATTTATTGGATTTTCCAACTTTAGCATTCCAAACAGGAATGTTCCAAGATCCAAAGCTTGATACCTGGGATCCAGATCATCAAAACTACAAATATAGAAGTGATTTGGAGAAATTAGAATGTAATAATTACGATCCAGAAACTTTCAAGGGAGCTCCAATTGGTTTGCAACTAGCAGGTAAGAGATATTCTGACGAATCTGTTGTTGCTGCTGGGAAAACAATAATTGAAATTTTGGATGTCAATTTATATAATTTAGAACTATAATTAATATGTTCATGTTCATATTCTATAAACTTGTTTAATTGTAAATCTGTAAGTTGTTATTAATTGTGTCAAATATTGTATATGTTCTCTAATTATTGCAAAAATCCTCAATAATATTTAAACTCTTGGAAATATGCCAAAAGGTTCAACAAAAATCTGAAAAAAAATACGGATTAATTTAGAACAAGCGTATTTTATGACTTTACCATCGGTAATGCTAATAATTTACTATAAGAAAGGTCTAAGCATATAAATAAAGGACTGCAACAGTTGTAGCCATAATTATTGTTTTGGCGCACGAATTTTTTTGAGAAGCGAATATGAATATTAAATTGCCATTGAACACTTGCTGGATTTTGCCTTGAATATTCAAAGTTTATAGATTGCAATGGCAGGCTTCGATGAAGATGATCTAGCAGACTACGATAACTATTCCGGAGAAGAAGAATTCAATGAGGATAATCTAGATGATCAGGAATATGATAAATTATATGCATGCCTTCCTCAATTGAAAGAAGACATTAAAGACTATAATGATGAAATACTTGAGATAGATTTAAAAGAAGCATTATACTTCAATTATTATGAAATAGAAGAAGCAATCAAAGAGTTGAAGTCTAAGTATCCTAAAAAGAAGACCAACAGTATGTATATTTTCCAATTTTTTTGTTTGTCAAGTTTCACGTCACTTTGAATAGCATTTGCAATGCTATTCGCCTATGCCTCTATTTCTTGAAACAAATGGTATATTGAAGTTTTAACAAAGAGTTCTAGTATCCTAAACAATGTTTTCAGACTCAGTAGATGAAGGTGCTCAACAATCAAGTATTGAGAATAAACCAGCTGCGAGTGGTTCAAAATTGGCACAGTTGGCAAAGTCAAGAGCGAATGCAAAACTGTCAGTGCCGTCCATAAATCAAGCAACTGCTAGCTCCAAGTTAACTGCTTTGGCTAAAGCTAGAAGTGGGCAAAAAATGAAAGAAGAAAGTAATAATCATCAGGCTAATACATCTAATAAATCGCTTCAGATATTGGGCAGATTGCGTTCTTCGACAGCTACGGATAGAGAAAAGTCTTCGCCAAGGTTGTCGTTGCCTAAGACGAATGGTCTCAAAGGCTTCTCTTCTGGTCGTTTGAATAAATTGCAACATAATACAGAACAAACACAACCAGAAATAGCCAAACCTAAAGAGGTTGAAAATATAGATATAGATGAGCCTCCAAAACAACATCAAGAACCGGAAGTGAGCTTTAATATTGTTTATGATGACTCAATTTTACTAAAACTTCCAAATACTCCCGTCTCATCATTTTTATTCAATAAAAGAAGGCGAGACGAGGACGCAGAAAATCATTTGTTAGAAAACAGAATCAAGAGAAGACATCATAATGACGAATTATTTCATCCGATTACTAACAATGAAATTGATATAGCTACTACCAAAAAAGTAAAATCTAATTTTGATGAACCTAGTCCAGACGATGAGATTATAAATGCCCAAAAAAATGCATTTGAGAAGAATATGGGAAATTTAAAAATTTCCGAGGAAAGGAACAATAGTTCATCAACAGTCGATACGATTACTGAAAAACAGCCACCAAAGAAGACCCAACCTTTCAAGAAGATTGAATTGTCTAAGGAATTATCTACACATACGACTTATTTAAAACCCCATAAGTCATTCGTTGTTATAGGACATGTTGATGCAGGTAAATCTACATTAATGGGTAGATTACTTTTTGATTTAGGTATTATTGATGCAAAAACTGTCAACAACTTAGTTAGGCAGTCAGAAAAATTAGGTAAAGGCTCATTTGCACTTGCTTGGATTATGGATCAAACTAGTGAAGAAAGATCCCGTGGAGTCACTGTTGACATATGTGCCACTAACTTCGAAACTGAGACATCTAGGTTTACCGCTATTGACGCTCCGGGACATAAAGACTTTGTACCTCAAATGATAAGTGGTGTCTCGCAAGCAGACCTTGCTTTATTGGTGATTGACTCCATAACGGGAGAGTTCGAATCTGGATTTACAATGGATGGGCAGACTAAAGAGCATACGATTCTCGCTAGAAATCTAGGTATTGCGAAAGTATGCGTGGTTGTAAATAAAATGGATAAGGAGGATTGGTCTGAAAGAAGATTTGAAGATATTAAGTTCCAAATGACTGAATTTTTGACTGGCTCGGATATTGGGTTTTCAAGTGACCAGATAGATTTCGTACCTATTTCAGGTTTGACGGGTAACAATGTTGTCAAAACTGACACCTCTATTAAGGCCTTTGATTGGTACAAGGGTCCAACATTGAGCAACTACTTAGAAAATATTCGATTGCCCGATCAAATAGTTGATAATGATTTGGTATCCAAATTGATTAAGGAAGATTTCAACATGTCTATTAATGATATTTATAGCATTTCAAGCTCTGAGTTTGGTGTCAGTGGTAAAATTACATCTGGTATGATTCAAGCCGGGGAGACAGTTTCTATTTCTCCGAACCAGGAATATTTACAAATTCAATCATTATCAATTCATGATAAGCCTGTAAATGTGGGTATAAGCGGTGAGATAGTTCTGATGAATTTCAAGATTAATCAACTTACCAATAAGACTTCTGATGATTTGAGCATTGGTGATTTGATTCTGAAAATCGACTCACCAATAACAGCTGTCAAGACTTTTATTGCCTCGATACATTTATTCAATATGAACAAACCGCTATTAGTTGGAACACCATTCGTTTTGTTTAGAAATAATTCACATATTCCTGCAAGAATTTCGAAGATTGTCGATATTGAAGGTTCGAAGAAGAAGAAAAAGCACTTGATTTCCAAACAATCTGCTACGGTTGAGATTACTGTACAAGGTGATAGATTGTTACCTGTTACAAGATTCAGTGACAATAAGATTTTGGGAAGGGTAGTTATTAGAAGGGAAGGTGTTACTGTAGGAGCAGGTACCATTAGCGATTTATGAGTTTGGTTAATATGCAAATTCTTATATAGACATGTATTTATTATATTATATGTAATCAAGATATATAATCTAGGAATAGTAACAATACGCCTAAAGTAATACACGTAGATATTATGATACTGGAACCCTTCTTATTTCTATTCGTAGCCTGGTCCAAGTTTCTATTTCCCAGTCTAACATCAATTTCGACCTGTGACTGACTATCCATTAAGTTGTCAATTTGCTCAGATTGAGTTTCTAATTGATACGATAACTCAGCTTGAAGATTTACGATATCCACCATAGAATGATGTAAGTTTTCCACTTGTTTCAATTGGTTAGTTTTCAAATTTAAAAACTCTTGATTCTCAGAATCTAGTTCTTGAATTTGTTCTTGCGTCAATTGCTGCTCCTGTATTTCTTCATCTTGATTTATATCCCACTGGTCATCGAGCTGTTCTGAATCATTTACGAAATTCATTCCGCCGTTAGATTCATAATAGTTTAAGTCCAAATCCTCTTCCAAGTTTTGAAAATTAAGCAAATTAAGTTGTTTCTCTCTTCCGTATCTTTGTCTTTGTAAAGCTTCAAAACTTTTATTAACATGATTAGTTAGGTCGTTAAGCGATCTCAATATTTGTGTTCTATGGGAGCTTATGGTGGTCTGAAAGAGTTCTCTATCGTCCTGTTCGTCGCTGCCAAATAAACTTCCCATCCAACCAGTGGAAGACTTAGGAAATGCAGATTGTCTCTTTTGTTCATACGTTTGTAAAAGCTTTAGTTTTTCATACAATTGTTGAATTTTATATTGCAATTCTTCATCTATTTTGTTCTTATCGTCAATAGTCAATGAATCATTCGCTTGTCCATAACTAGATTCGTCATTAATTGATAAGTAAGGAGATTTTATTTCATTTATAAAAGTCTTCAAATTTTTCAAGAATTTATGAAATTCAATACATTCTTTGATAAATGTGTCTTTAATGATATAACGATCGTAAGAATTATCCTTTCTAGACTGCTTTAAATCATAATCTTCTTTGATAGAATCACCAAATTTGTCTTGCACTATACTGACACATTGTTTGAATAGCGGTGTTAGATCAGACATTGTTCAATCACTAGTATACTAATAAAGTATGGAACCTTCAACGATGTATTCCTTATAGAAAAATATATTGTGTAGTCAATATGCAGTACACAAATTATAAGGCTAAAGCTATACTATACGATAGATCCAGGCTTTCAAGTGAAATAAATGAACATTTTATAATGAATTTTTAGATATTGAACTCATCTACATAAAATGTGGTACGTATCTGCAATATTGTATATTACTATTGGAAATTTATCCCTTATATTGTGTTTAAGAAAAGCGACTAGATATATGCGATATACTAGTATAATAGTTAGCTAAAAAAAAAAATCAGCTACAACTAACCATTGAGATACTCAACACATTCTGTAATCTCAACTGCATCCTTATGACCCTTGGAAGTAATGGCTGGAATAGTTTCAGTCTTATATATTATATTCCACCTTCCAAGGAACTCTTTACCGTTGACGTTTTCGACTCTGTAGTTAAAATCACGCTTCTCTTCTGGCGACGATTGAACGTATTCAACGTATTCTGGCGCCCCAGGCATGATGATGTTATCAGCCGCTATAACGGTACCAGGTGCAATTAAATTCAACGATTCAAGAACCCTGAGATCAGGAACATAAAGACTCTTTTCGTGGTCAATGAAAATGAAGTCTAGCGAAGAGTACGACGATAATCCTTGTCTCTTGAACGTATCCCTAAAATCCACCAAAGTATGAGCAGCTTTGCCTACAATAATCTGGACTTTGTGAGATAAGCCCGCCAAATCAATGATCTGCTGAGCGATGTTGGCGAAATCTTGGTTTGCCTCAAAACTGTAATATCTGGACCCTTGCTCCTTCGGTAATTCATTTGCAAATAAAATTGCAGAATACCCAACGTAGCACCCGAGTTCAATCATGACCATGGGTTTAACCTCTTTCATCTTATCGACAATTAGTTTTCCCTTGTTCTTTCCGATAGTCATAAATGATGCTGGATAGTTGTCAATTGCCTCTAACACTTTTCCTGGGTTACCTCTTATCGATGCAAGCTGGTCTTCTGGCAAAGAAAGAAGATGATCGAGAAGTTTTTGTTCTTTTCCGCCCGACTGTGACGATTTATTACCTGATGATGACATACTAAGTACTATTGATATCACTAATGACAATATTTCTATAATATTCATTACATTTTAAATCTCATGGGGGCAGGTTTCGGAGTATTTATGGGGAATGCGCGAAGTCGGACCGACTTTGTTGCAATATGAACTATCGGACAGCAAGCTTTCTCCAGCAGTAACATTCAAAGCCTTGTCCCAAATACATGTCCGAACGGAGCATAACACATTATTCATGGAATATCACAAGAACTGCTTCTGTTGGTTTAAATGTGTTGATTCTTGACGAAGAATGCCACACACAATTGTGGTTCAGCTAGACGTTCTCTCTGGTAGATACTATCTCCAAGTCACAAATTATCTTTAAGGGGAAGTAAGCTATAGCAGCTTGTATCATGGATGCATATCATGAGGCAGATTTCAATTTCAGGGGATTGCAGATGGGATATGGGTCGTCAATCAAAAATTGTTACAATAATGTCGCAAGAATGACGACATACTTCATTAGATGAGCATCTAAACATCTTATCGTTCTATACATCTAAATACATTTGACCAGATAAGGATGTTATCTGAAGGATCAGGAGAAGTAGGAGTTCCAAAGAACAGTAATCAAGATGAAGATTCGGGGAGTACACGTGTGTCGGTATCTGATAGACTTGCGAAGCTTCAACAATTGAAACGTAAAAAACAAGAAAGTGAACAACTTAATAAGCAAGAACTTTTCCAGGACTACAAACAACAGAAACTAAAGTCGATAGAATATAAAAAAATAGAGCAGAAGAAGCTAAATGCAGAACTCGAACAGGAAAAACTCGACAGCATAGAAAAAGGTGAAGATTTCGAGAGGAAACAAAATTGGGACTGGACTATCGAAGATTGTGAAAAATGGGAGAAAAAAACCAAACAAAAGGGAAAAAACCAGAAGTCTGGGTTTCAGAACTTTAATAAAATGGCGGAACAAGCTTATAACAAGGAACTTCTGAACCTCAAAGTGGATAAAGAGACATACGAACAACAAAAGAATGCAATAGACAAAAATAAGAGTGGTAGCCGACTGCAAATGTCGAAGATACTACCAGTTTCCAGTAAGCCGAGTGCTGCAGATACCAACAGGTTGGTTCGTAATATCGAAGAAGCGAATGATCGTAGGATGAAACGTAGACGAAACAAAGACGACGAAGATGACGTGAACAGCTACATCAACGACAAGAACAAACAGTTCAACCTTAAATTGAACAGACAATATGGTGAATCATAGAGCAAGAGCTCAATCAACTAACGAGATAAGATTCAATTAACGTTTCATTTGCATGGTGCAGAAGAGTTGCGAAAAGTAGCACTGACACATGGCATACAACTTTACGATAAAATCGTACACATAATATCAATTGTTTTAAACGAGTCATCAAGCTACATATTACAGGGATTATAAGGATGGCATCAGTTGATGTCTCTTTCCCTTTATTATCGATAATAGAGCAGCTAGTGTATAGTATGTTAATTAGTTACCCGGCCGATTTAGGCTGTTGTGTTTTGTGTAACAACAAAGAATTCTTCAACTTGAAAAACAGATAATTCAATATGTCAACGGACATTAGACATTAAACTCTTTATTGGTACTTATACTAAGTATAATATAATCAAATTTCATCCCTTGTATACGTAAATTAGAAACATATTTACGTTGGTGAGAAGTTCGATTGAAGATTAATCATAATTGGATCCCAATATTATCATTGATTAAACTCTACTCGGCGCATTCCATCAATTACACAAGAGTACCGATTATATTAAAATGGCAAAAGAAAATATTGAAGAAGAGAGAGAGATTCGTAATGACGCCTCTGAAAATAGCTCAGACGAAGAAGGTGACGATGTTTTAGATTCTTCTGAAGAAGATGACGATGACGATGATGAAGAGGCCATTAAGCGTGTTCGTGAAGGATTTATTGTCGACGATGATGAAGATGAAAGCCAGAAGCGTAAAAGAAGAAAGCATAAGAAGAGAAAGAGAGAAGAACGTACTAATGACGATGAGAATGATGCTTTAGATCAAGATGATTTGGAGTTATTAATGGAAAATTCAGGTGCGAGACCTCAACCTAGTTCCAATAAACTTAAGCGTCTTAAGAGAGCGCATACCGAAGATACAGAAGGTGCGGAAGAAGAAGAGATAGGAGCCAAATCTGGAAGAGGTGGATTGACCGACATTTTCTCTGATGAAGATAACAATGAAGAAGAGCAAGCAGACTTAGGTGAGACCCGTGTTGACGATGATCGTAATATATTAGATGAATTCGAAGATTTTATCGAGGAAGATGAATATTCTGACGAGGACGAAGAACGTCAACGTAAGTTAACTCAGCAACGTGAACGTGCTCAAAAGAAAGGTCCAAGACTTGATACTTCTAAATTATCCAATGTTGACAGAGAAAGTTTACAACAGTTGTTTGAAGTTTTCGGTAATGGTGCTGAATATGAATGGGCATTAGAGGCACAAGAAATGGAAGATGAAGGTAATGGTGAAAACTTAGAACCTACTTCATTGGACGAAGTTTTCGAACACGCAGAATTAAAGGAACGTATGTTAACAGAAGAAGACAACTTAATTCGTATTGTCGATATTCCTGAAAGATTCCAAAAGTACCGTGCCAATTTAAATTATATTGATTTGGAAGAAGAAGAATTAAAAAATGAACAAGACTGGGTGGCCAATATATTGTTCATGGAGAAACAGGGCTCATTTAGTGGATTTTTGGAAGAACCTTTTAAAGAAGCAGTTTCAAAGGTAGTCGAATTCATTTCAAAAGATGTTTATGAAGTTCCATTTATATGGACTCACCGTCGTGATTTCTTATTGTATTCGGAAGAAATAAAAAATGAGGACGGAAGTGTCACTAATTCAGTTCATAAATTGTTGTTTGAAGATGATTTATGGCGTATTTTCCAATTGGATATTGAATATCACTCGCTTTACGAAAAAAGAGTAAATATAGAAAAATTGATAGAATCTTTGAATTTAGACGATGACTTAGTCAAAGATGTCAAATCGTTGGAAACAATGGTTGCAATTCAAGATTTACAAGATTATATTAATTTTACTTATTCCACAGAAATACGGAAATTATACGATGACAAAGAAACTGAAGGAATTGACGCTAATATAACCAAGAAACATTCTAAATATGCTGTTTTTGAGAGAATAAAATCTAATGTCTTATATGATGCGGTGAATGCTTTTGGTATCAGCGCAAAAGAGTTTGGTGAAAACGTTCAAGATCAAAGTTCCAAAAAGTTTGAGGTTCCTTACAGAATTCACGCCACTGATGATCATATTGAATCCCCTGAAGACTTGATTGAAAGGCTTTGTGAAGATGATGAAGTCTTGTTCAAAGATCCAAAGAATGCTCTTAATGCGGTCAGAAAGACCTTTGCAGAAGAAATTTTCCACAATCCTAAAATTAGACATGAAGTAAGAACTACGTTTAAAGATTTCGCTTCCATAAGGGTAGCGGTTACAGAGAAGGGTAAAGCCATAGACAACCACAGTCCTTATGCGGATATCAAATATGCCATCAATAGGTCTCCTGCTGATTTGGTACGTAATCCTGATGTTCTACTTAGAATGCTAGAAGCAGAAGCTGCTGGTTTGGTTGTCGTGAAGGTGGAAACAAAAGATTATGACAGTTGGTTCCAATGCATTTTTAACTGTTTAAAGTCTGATGGGTCTTCAGAGATTTTTGAGAAATGGAATAAAGAAAGAGAGTTTGTATTGAACATGGCATTCAAAAGATTAACATCTATGGTGTCTATGAACACTAAGGAAGATTTGCGTCGTGAGTGCGAACGTTTGATTGCAAGTGAAGTCCGTCGTAGGTTCTTAGCGAGAATTGATCAAGCTCCATTTACTCCATTTGGCTTTGATAAAGGTACGAAACCAAACGTGTTAGCTTTATCTTTTGGTAAAGGTGATTTTGACAGTGCTGTCATTGGTGCATTTTTGAGAGAAAGTGGTAAGGTAGACGAATTTTTTAAATCCGAAAATAATCCTATTAGGGATCGGGAAAGTGAAGACAAGTTTAGCGGGCAATTGAAGGAATTCTTCGACAAAAATCTTCGTAATCAAAAGCCGGATGTTATAGTTGTTTCAGGCTATAATGCAATCTCAAAGAAGCTTTTTGATTCCGTTAAGTCTTTCGTTGAGACTAATAATATTACTGCTAATACGGAAGAATTAACAGACGTCCAAAATCCACCTTTAATACAAGTGATTTGGGGACAATCAGAAACTGCAACTTTATTCCAAAACTCCGAAAGAGCAAGAATTGAATTTTCCGATAAGCCAACCTTGGCTAAATATTGTGTAGGGTTAGCACGTTATGTGCAAAGTCCACTATTAGAATATCTTTCGTTAGGTGAAGGTATTTTATCGTTGACTTTTTTTGAGCATCAAAAGTTGATTTCAACTGATTTAGTTATGGAAGCTATTGAATCTGCATATGTGGATATCATTAATATGGTTGGTGTCGAAATTAATGAAGCAATTCGTGATCCATATATTGCACAACTTTTACCTTATGTTGCAGGGTTAGGACCTCGTAAAGCTTCTGGTTTATTGAGAAATATTAATTCAAAATTAGGATCTACATTGGCTAATAGAAGTGATTTGATCGAAAATGAACTTTCAACTGCTAATATCTTTATTAACTGCTCATCATTTTTAAATATTCCTTATGATGAAGGTTTGTCTATGAGAGACTCATCAGTAGAATTATTGGATGCTACAAGAATTCATCCGGAAGATTATGACTTAGCTCGTAAGATGGCTGCCGATGCACTTGATCTAGATGAAGAAGACATGGCGCATGTGGAAGAACAGGGTGGTATCATTTATCAATTGATGCAAGATGGTGTAAGTAAAGTTGATGATTTGAATTTAACAGCATATGGTAAAGAATTAGAGAGCAAATTTGGTAAAAAGAAATACGCCACTTTACAAAGTATCAAGGAAGAACTTGTTAATAATTTTGAAGAAATTAGACGGTCGTTCCATATTTTGGAAAGCAATGAAGTTTTCCACATGTTAACAGGCGAAACAACCGAATCTTTTTCTAGAAATACGATTGTACCTGTGACAATTAATAAGGTCGGTCAGAACTTCAGAGATTTCGAAAATTCGAAGATTAAATTTGCAAAGGTAACAACTTCTTCTCTTATCCTGGGTAATATTGAAGAGGCTAGTATTCCTCAAGGTATCGAGCTTGCGCAAGGCCAGGTGGTGCAGGCCGTTGTTTTGGATGCTTATTATGATTCTTTCACAGCATCATTTAGTTTACTCGAAGCAGACATTCAAAAGGGGGCTGCTCCTAAATTTCATAAAGATCCTCTTAAATGGAATTTCGAAGCAGAGCAAGCAGATAAACAAAAGGAAATGGCAAAGGAAAGAGCACAACTTGCGAAAACAAGAAACATTCAACATCCGTTATTTCACAACTTTAGCTACAAACAGGCTGAAGAATTTTTAGCTCCTCAAGCAGTAGGGGATTGTGTACTTCGTCCATCTTCAAAGGGACCAAATTACTTAACAGTCACTTGGAAAGTGTCTAACAATTTATTCCAACATCTTAGTATACAAGAAAATACTCAAGGTATGGGTAAGGAATATATTGTTGAACATAAGAGATACGCCGACTTGGATCAATTGATTTTTCAACATGTTCAGGCTATTGCCAAACATGTGGATGAAATGTGCCGCCATCCAAAATTCCGTGAAGGTACTATGTCTGAGGTCAATGAATGGTTGGAATCGTACACTAAAGCTAATCCAAAGAATAGTGCTTACGTTTTTTGCTTTGATCATAAAGCACCCGGTTGGTTTTTATTATTATTTAAAGTTAACGTTAACACACCTATAACCACATGGCACGTTAAAACAGAATGTGACGGTTATAGATTAAAAGGATTCTCATATCCAAGTATGCTTCGTTTATGTAATGGTTTCAAACAAACCTTCAAGAGTTATGTAAAAAGTATTGCAGATAGATCGAGAACGACCAAACCTGCTCCAGTCAACACTCAAGCTCAAGCAAGTACATACGGTGGATATGGTTATTGAATAACTATCAGGTTTCTTTGAAAAGGAACAATAAAAAATTGTAATGAATCTTTATCATTTGTATTTTAAATTATTTGTAGTAATATTAGTTCTATTGAATATAAGCACTAAAACATTAGTCCAAGAAAATTAAATACTTGTATTGATTTTATTTTCCTAAAGACCTATTACCGACTCTTAGTTTTGATCTAAAGCTATCAGCATCAACGTAGCATCCCATTAACCATCTATCACCTCCGTTCTCATCAGAGAACTCTTTACGTGAGTGTAACACTCTTCTGTTATCGAATATAGCACATGAGCCTTCTTTCATTTTTATTTCGTACTGATTAATTGGATCATTCACGAAATCTGTAAATAATTTGAAACCTCTCAAAAAATCCTTAAACGATACGTTTTCTGAAGAATTATTCTCAAAAATACCAATCTCGAATGGGCCTTGAAATGGTGGAGAATAATTAACTTCCTTAATGGCACCCACATTTGCATCTGAGTTAAAATTCTCCTCAACGATCAAAGGTCTTGCATAATAATAATGTTCATTATTATTATCATAATGGTACGTGATTGGAATTTTAGTCAATGCTAAATATGCCTGAGGATCCAGATTTCTAATATGTATAGCAGCTGCAAATGAATCACAAAAAATGTTCTCTCCACCCAGAGTTGAATTCTGTATAAAATGCAACAATTGTAATCCAGGAGGTGATTCATAATACAATAAATCCATGTGCAAGGGCAAAAATGTATTCGTATTTGCAATGTTTTTGGCCTCTTTTTCATTTCTTACATCAAATAAAGTTCCATAGAAAGTCTTTTTGATATAGCCGAATTTGGATGCTAATGCAGCTACCGGCCATTCTAATGCATTGTCTTCATTCATAACCCGAGTCTTAGGATTATCAAGTGGACTTGGGATATCATTGATAAAGGAGAGCCCAAATTGATTCAAATTATTTAAAGTTTTGACGAAGAGCAGGTTCTTCTCAGCATAATCACTATAAGTCACTTGCAAATCTGAAATATTCTTGATAATACGATTATTATCCCAAATGATCTTCGAATTATTGAAATATTTTCCCTTTCTAATCGAGAAATTAGAGGAATATTCTTCTAAGAATGCACTGGAATATCTTGATTTATGAAGTGATCCGTCCTGACTCCAGGTTACTTCCAAACTATCTTCATTGTCTGGGGTACTAAGTATTTTTGGTGAACCATGCAAAGATAATCCGTGGCTAATATCGCTAGTCGAAAACAATTTTTGTTTTGAAAATGGATCTCTAGAACTAACAGATGTACACGAATCTCTAAGAAATACATTGTTAAACTTAACAGTATGAGTGTTATCGAAAGTTACTGAAATATAATTATCATTGTAATTTCCTAAACTCAAACTCGATGAATACCTTAAAAAATGAAGAGACTTACTTAGTGAAGCCTGTAATATTCGACCCGAAGAGACTAAAGTCATTGTGTAGATATTGATATGTTTAGTAAAGTTAATTGAATTGAAAAATCCGTTATACGAGAAACCGTGGGAGAAAAGTGTGGGGCCATTTCGGGATTTCAAAACAAAAAAAAAGGAATAGAATCGACTGGTGACACCCGCGAGATTCGAACTCGCGCCTCCGGAGAGACCAGGACCTTACCCTGGCGCCTTAGACCAACTCGGCCAGAGTGCCAGATAATATCCGATTCTGACTGACTTGCAATTTCAAAGCTTATATGCTTATAATGCGGATTTACAATAATAGTTTTTGTATTTCAGTAATACATGAAAGTAATTTGATACTTTTAAATGCTGAACTTATATTATATATATATATATGTTAATATATAAGAATGATGACCGTTGGTAATTCTCTATAAAGAAAAAAGTCCAGTTTTTTTCTTACCAAATGGATAGACAAACAACGCAGAAGCAAATAATCCAACACTAATACCAATCGAAACTTTAACCATAGTCGCACCAAAAGCTAATGAGCCAGCAGAATCACTTGCTGTACTAGTGTCTGACGTAGTAGAATTACTACTTGTAAGTTTATCAGCCGATTCAACACCAGCTAAGAGAGTACTTTGAGATGCTATACCAGAAGGAACTTGCACAAAAATGGCTGGCAACATGGCAGCAACAGCCATACCTTTACCAATTCTTGAATACAAATTACCCAAAATTCCCACGATAAACGCACCAATACAAGCAGTAAATTCCGTGACTTCACTAAATTGTTTATGTTTACCAGCAAAAAAGGTACCGACATAACCAGCACATGCGATAACAATCATAATTGGTAATTGCCTCCATCTTGCTTGATTAATCAAACCCAAGCATGCTGAAAATAATGGAACGAAAAGAATTTTGAATTCATCTTGTTTAATTGAGTTTTTACACTTTGTAGTTGAGATTGCATTACTATCAACCCAACCATATAACGAAGCTCCTAAGGTGATTCCAAACCCTAAGAATAATGAATAGATAATAGCATAGAACATTCTAACAGAGCCAGCAACAATATTTCTCGATTGTAACTCTAAAGAACCAGTCAAAATAATATAACCAGGCAAAATCAATGCTAGTGATCCCTGTGCAATAGCAGAAAAACAAAAGTATTCACCATCATGAATGGACCCAATAGCTCTAGCAATAAATGTGACAACAATAGATGCAGTGACTTCGAAAACTGACGAGTATAAGTTAGATTTTGAAGATACAAAAAACTGCAAGTATCCGACACATAATCCTACACCAAACGCAATTGGGACATCATACCATCCACCATCAAAAGCAAAAGGACAAACCATAGATGATCCCAACCCATATAAGAAAACACATAGCCATGGTGAGTATCTATTCTTTTTCTTCAATAATTCTTCAAGTTGAGTAGAGGCTTCATCAACCGGTAAGAGGTCATGAATAACACCTTTATAGATTCTATGTGTGTCAGAAAGCTTTGATAAATTTAAACCCTGAGCACATCTAACTAAGTGAACCTCTGACGTTCTGGTTGATGCATCACCGAATGATACAATCATACAACCCGGAAAATATACGAATTGACCATCAATCTCTAACACTCTACTTGTTAAAGTCATATATTCCTCCAATCTATGAGTTGGTGCTCCAAACATCATCAATGCTTTACACATTCTCATAATAAATCTTTGTCTATGAAGAATATCAGCAATATGCACAGTAATACGAAGCTGTTGATCTTGTTGTCTCTTATGCTCTTTAAGTTTCTTGTGCACCTTGGCTGGAACTTTACCCGCGGATGCAATCTTTTTGGGAGCTTTAGGTTTTGCATTATGAAACGATGGTAAATTTGGCGCTGCAATCTCATTACCATCCTCATCATAATATTTCTGAGCAAATTCATCTTGCGTATCTTGTCTTTGAACTCCGTGCTTTCTACCTGGTATCCTATTAACCATTCTCTTCGGACCACTTTTAAAATCATTTTTCAACTTCGTAAAATCTAGAGTACTAGCCGCTTTAGGGTCGCTAAAACTGTAGTTTGAATCTTCAGCCAAAGTATTACCCCCATAGGTACTTTTCGAGGCCAAAGAAGATGAAGATTGCTGCTCTTGAGGATTCTGATATAATTTTAACAACGAAGAAAGAACACCCGCTTGAACTCGTTTAGGGGGAGCAATTTCGTCCATATCCTCATCCAACATCAAATAGTCATCTGCGTCATTTTCATTGTTAATATCTCCACGAATAAAATAATCAGGATTAGGCGTATAGAATTCGTCATCCTTCTTGTTTGCTTCATTTTCCGTTTGCTCACCATTCTTAATTAAATTTGAGACTGAAGTATCTGAATGATCAAGTTGTTGGTCACTGCTTGTACCTTCTGGCAACTTATTAGCTAAATCTGGGACATGAGTAGAAATTAAGTTCTGTGCTTCGTTACTTAATTGTGCGAAATCTAATTTCTTCATTTCAATAACATCTGAGTCTTCATCTTCAAATCCCACTTCTTCTTCTTCATCAATTGTCTTTTCCCGAGAAAAATGCGTAGCTCCAGGCACCAATCCACCACTCTCGTTAGCCATGGACAACACATTACCTAAGAATGTATCAGATTTCGATGGCTGTGGCTGTCCCAAATCCTCACTCTCACGGTTACTTGGTGCCTCAGGATATTGTTGATCAACTAGAGCAAATTTACGTAAAATATCTTTCAAGCCCGTACGTTTGTCTGAATTTGATCTTCTTGAAGAAGTCGTAGATGTTATCCTCTTCAACTGGTCTGTTACATCAGTTTCATTACGTTGAAGCGAATTAAGTGATCTTCTCGAATTTTTGGCTCCCACATTAGATGATTTGGACCCCCTAGATGTCTTGGACCCCCTAGATGTCTTGGAGCTTTTAGAATGCGAATCATCTACTATTTCTTCTTTTTCATCTACCACCTCTTCCTTATCCTCTACCTTATCACCTTCATTATCCGCTTCCATGTCTTCGTCTGAGCCTTCCGATGCATAGAAGTCTGCCGGAGGCTCAAATGTGTCCTCTTCTTCGCCACTATCATCGTTAGCGTCATCTTCATTCGCATATTCTGGCGAATGTACCTGGTTTGCAGAAAAATTAAAATTTGGCAAATTCGAATTCTCGCTAGTTACCATATCTTGCTCTAACTCGGAATCTGACGAAGAATTATTCGTGGTTGATGCATTACTGATGATGGTGTCTCTAGGCGAATACAGATCAGGAAATCTCACCGACCTGTTGTTCTTGAGCTTTTTACTTGCTTTGACAAGGTTTGTCTTGGAACTAGATTTTTGCTGCTTCCTATAGTTAGCTAGATCCAATCTCGGAATCTGGATATGGGTTTTATAATTGTCAGCTTCATCTTCCGAGCTGGAAGATGTGTCATTACGAGGAACGCTTTGAGACATACTCTATCACCGTCTTCCGTTTATCTTGTATCTCGAATGATTATAATATAAAGAAAATCTTGTACTGATCTTTTATCCTGGGTCTAGGTTTGAAAAATTGGTTATATAAAGAAATGCCAAAGGAGGGCCATCTGAATTATATGCAGAACAGTTGCACCTTCAACCAATGCTGATACTGTTAACTATTAATAAACCGGCCGATTCGCGTCCTACACCGCCATACTAAGGAGATTCACGTCTATTGGTCTGCCATCCTACATATACTCGCTCACATATACTACATACAAGAAATATGCTATACACTTTCTTCCCATTGAACACCGCACCATTCATCGATGTATGCAACATGATTTTCGTCGAACGCATCTGCAGGCATGTAATCCTCTGCATCGGTACATACAATAATTGTTCCCCAAGACATACCATTTAATATGTCGTTGAGAGATGCAGACTTGTCGTTTTCGTTCTCCAAATCCAAGATAGCCTTCGGCATAAGCTGGCATTCGAATTGGCGGTGGGACGATGGATTGTAACCCGGGTTTGGAATATTAAAGTTTGTGTCGCGGCCGTTGAATTTTGCTGCAATTTCGTCGCGTCCCGAATAGAGCAAAGGCTTACCACCGAGATCGTATCGAAGGACTTGGGAGCTATTGTGTTTTATGGTATTGGTGAATGCTTCGAAGTATTTGTCATCGAGCATATTGGAGATTTTGGCATTTTGCGGGTTCATGTGTGATGACGAAGACGCTTGCTTTTTTTCGGCGCGAGATGTGGACTCAGCTTCTTCATCAAGATCGACCAAATGCTTGTATTTTTCCAATTCAGGTTCGACGGTGACCTTTTTAAATTTTTCTTGCTCTACATACAAGAAATATCCCGGATAACAAGGCAACTGGCCTACAGTTGACGACGCTTTCTTTGGATGAGATTTTGGCAAATTTTTGGATGCGGCTTCAGCAAACGACTCCTTAGTCAGCTGTGGATGTGATTGAGTGTCTTCGGACTCATTATTCTTGGGTTTGCTGAACGGATTGGCTGCCGCGTCGAATGGATTTGCTGTAGCTCCAAACGGATTTGCGGACGCTCCAAATGGGTTTGCGGACTTTTCAGAGGTATTCTCGGCCGAGTTATTGAATAAATCCTTGGTGAGTTCGATTTGTAATTTTTTGGTGTTATCCAAACGCAATTTTTCATCAAATTCCTTTCTGGTAGCCTCTTCAGATTCAGCTTCGATTTGGGCCATTTTGACTGGATCCTTAGAAACCCCTCTTATACATTTAATGGAGCCTTTCTTCTTGGAACACTGGGTTGTTTTAGGACACCCGAATATGTAGAGGACTCTGTCGTATGATTTGCCTTCAAAGGGTGCAAATACCTGTGATAATAAAGCCATTTTACCACCACAGCTATCACACTTGATTTGTGAATCTTGTGGTTGCGAGTTTGGATGCAACCATACTGGACTACCTCCGATGAAAGTATCTTCTATAGTAGGCTCATCGTTATCCTCTGGGTCGTCTTCACTTGACAATATTGGAGCATCTACGAACCCCAAATACACTTGCGAAGTTTGCTTTTCGTCAATTATATCTTCCTCATCTGAAGAATATTCGTCGTGTGATGACATCTTGTATATACTAATACTGGCTCGATGATAGCTTTGATAGACATTGTTAGGGTTCTTGAAGCTCATTCTGAAAAAAAATTAGTATCAGTTGAAGGGATCACGTGTACGATGAATTACTAGCTTATTCATTTACCTATATACAATAGTCTATACTATTTACAAATATCTTGGGTGTATGATTTCTTCATAAACTTGGATTATATCTCCGGCTTGGAATTTATCCCAGTTATCAAATGAAATCCCACATTCATTTCCTCTTTTGGCCTCCGATATATCATCCTTAACATGCTTAAGTGACGAGAGAGAACCATTAAATATCTCATTCTTTCCTCTTAGAACCTTTATCTTGGATGACCTTTTTATGTTACCATTAGTAACTTTACAGCCCGCGATTTTGAACTTCAGTTTGGTCTTCGAAGTTATGGAAAACACATCTTTAATTTCGACCTCACCTAGGATTTTAGTTTCAACATGAGGTTTCAAGTGTGAGGTTAATTCATTCGTAACGTCTTCAATTAAGCGGTAAATGATGTTATATTCCTTTATATCGACAAGATTTTTGTCAGCTTTTGCCAGTATTGCTTTAGGGGTTTTCACGTTGAAGCACAAAATTTTTGCATCAAGTGCTTTGGCCCTGTCAACATCCGAATCAGATGGCATTCCAGCTTCATGCAAGATAACTACAGATTTTACTTCCTCATTACCCAAACCGTCTATACTTCCTTTAATTGCTTCTGCAGATCCGAAAACGTCGGATTTAATGATATATTTGACTTTAATGCATTCTGGTTCAGATTCGAACTCACTCTTAAGAGTTTTTTCATCAAAACCAGCCAATTTCAATTCATTGATCTTTTCTTGTCTTTCTAATTCTTTGATTTCGGCCTGTCTTTTCTTATTGATTGTTTCAATATCTCCAGCTGCTTTAATTTGCTTTTCACGGTTTATTCTGTTTTCGCAAACTTTTTTGGCATTCCGTTCATTCTTGGCTTCCAATATTTGGTCTCCCGATTGGGGTAAATCTTTCCAGCCCCATATTTGAACTGGCGTAGAAGGACCCGCAGTTTTAACTGTCTTTCCATTCTCATCTTTCATACCTCTTACTTTGCAATAAGTGTTACCAGCGACTAAATAACTACCAACTTTGACAGTGCCCCTACGAACCAAGACCGTTGAGATATTACCCATACCTTTAGCTATTTCTGATTCAATAACCCAACCTTCTGAAGGTATATTACTTATCTCAGATCTAAAGTCACTCATTTCACGTAATGTAATGACAGCTTCTTCCAACTTATCCATATTCAAACCTGTTTTACCAGAAACTTGAACGGTTTGTGTATCTCCACCATATTCTTCAACATCAATTCCATGTCTGGATAAATCTGCTAAGACTCTATCAGTATTAACACCTGGCTTATCACACTTATTAATGGCCACAATCATTGGAACACCAGACTTTTTCGCGTGTTTTATTGCTTCAATAGTTTGTGGCATTACTGAATCATCAGCAGCAACTACTAAAATAACAATATCTGTAATAATTGCACCCCTTTCTCTCATTTTTAAAAATGCTGCATGTCCAGGTGTATCCAAAAAGGTAATCTTTTGCTTAGAAATTGGAGTTATTACTGAAAAAGCACCAATGTGTTGAGTAATACCACCATGTTCTTGGGCAACGACCGAAGATTTTCTTAAGTAATCCAAGATAGTAGTTTTACCGTGATCCACATGTCCCATAATGGTGACAACAGGGGCCCTTGGCTTAAGTTTACTCTCGTCTTCACATTCTGGAGATGGAAATAAATCTGCACCCGTATCATCATTCATAGTAACTTCAAATCCGTATTCATCAGCAATTAATGAAGCATTTTCTTTATCTAAAATATAGTTATGAGTCATTCCTTCAAAGCCTAGTATTTCTAATTTCTTTAATAAATCACTCAAAGGAACACCCATGATAGTGGAAAGATTAGAAACAGTAATAAAAGTTGGAACCTGGATCTTAATATTTTCAACTTTTGTTTCTGCTTTTTTGGTAGGCTTCTGTAGTCGTGGTTTTGGACTAGGTGACTTATTTGTCTGTTGTTTAGTTTGTGCTTGATTCTTTTCCTTATCTTTCAATGCCTTTTTGGCCGTATTGTATTGTTGGGTTCTGTCAAGTTCAACCTTCTCTTCTTTGGTAAAACGGTTTTGATTTTTCGGCTTGTTATTCAAATCATTCTTTTTCTTCGGCTGTGAATATTGCTGAGCGAATCTATTTCCCTTGGGTGCGTTCTGATTTTGATTTAGTCTCAAATTTGTCTCTGTATTCTTGCCTGTAGGCCCACTAGGCTTTTGAGTGTTCTTTGAAATTCTTGAAATTCCTCCACCAACTCTAGGTAAATCTTTAAGAAAATCAGCATATGTCCTTTTAGGTATATAGTTCAAGCATACACATGAATGTGCTAGCCTGCCGCTAAAGTACATCCTCGAAGACTGTAACATTGTGTGTATGTTTAAAACTTTATTAGATGATAAATTTTGACATCGTTATATATTTTGGAACAAATTTTCGCAGCGAACAAAATTTACTAGATTTGAGATAAACTATAGATTCATGCAATTAAATTGTAATATACAGAATAGAAATATTGTAGACCTATTCAAAAGTTATATATGCAAATACTCTAAAGATAATGATGAGTAAAAAAAATAATAAGAAATATAGCAATTAAGCAGGAAAAAAGATTCAGTAATAGGACACTTCCAGTTCTAATTGGCATATTTATAATCACCGTTCGAAGTAACATAACCAAATGATTTACTTTCATTCAAGGTTCCAATTAATTTATCAATATCTTTAAAATGACGATCATCGCATGCAAAATTCCGATGCCTATTTGAACTGATGTGGTCTTCAAAATAGTTATACTTAACACGACAGTTTTCACAATAACCAGGTTTCAAATCTTTTTCCTTATCTTCAGGTATGCTATGCTGTCTTTGCTTTTTCATGAAAATACGTCTCTTTAGATTATTAATATTTCTCGATGGTACTTGAGAGACAGTAGGACCTAACCCGTTGCCCTGGATTGTAGCACTATTCAAAGCAGAATCCATAGACATTTGAGCAGAATTTGAGGCCCCATTATAACCGGACGCCGCAACCTCAAAGAATTTTGAATTTGAATTATTCAATGGTTGGACGCATGATGATTCCCTTGCAAGACGGGCAGGAGGAGCCTTGAAATCAAGTCTAGTTGACTTCAAAGGTTTATTCAACTCCTCTTCGGATGATGCTCTTTTGGATGAACTAGTTGACGATTGAACTATTGTTGATTCATCCTCGCGTTCGTTTTCGTTACAGATTTCATTATTGTCACAATCTGTTGCGATATCTTCACCACTGCATTCAGACGAATCAAAGTGTATACCATCTTTCACGTTATTTATAATTTCAACAGTCGCCTTCTTGAGCAATTCTCTATAATTTTTTGAAGCTTCGAATTTTTGTAATCTACGGAGTTGTCTCCTTTCCAGGTTCTCCGAAGAGTCAGGTATGAATGGGCATTTACCATCGAGGGTATTAGACATCCTTGGATAAGGGGAATCATGCCATTCTCTCACGGCAATTGGTCTGAAATTTTGTGCCAAGTCGTAGGCGTACAAATAATTCTTTTCTAAATAATGCAAATCATCTCTTCTAGCATTTGGATCCCGATCATTGGCACCAAATATTTTTTCTTCTTTTAACAAGTTATATAAATCACCATTTTTATTAAATTTGGCGTTATCATCATATTTGTAATTCGACTCGTTGACTCCCAAATTCTTCAAAAACCGAAAAACCTTCTCATAGTCCCAAACTTTGATCTTAAGACTACATGCATCATGAAATATGTCACTCGTCGAGTACTCTTTGTTAGCATCAAATGGCCTCCTGCTAACAATAATAGTAACTTCTCTATCATAAAAGGGTACTAATGTACATCCTACGTGCTTTAACGCTCTCTGAGCTTTTTTCAACTCGGCCTGATGACTGGTATTGTTTGTATCATACCCTTGTGTGTCAAAGTAAACAACACTTTCTCTCATGATTTTCCGCCATGATCTCTGCCATTGTTGAAATGCCTCCCCTTCTAACCTATTGGCCTTGCTTTGACTTTGAGATTCATCTTTCTGTACTTGATTATGCGTGTTTGTATGCGTGAGTTGTGTGTTTACAGGCCGCGTTAGATTTGGTTTGTTTTGGAGTATGCTATTCCCAGCAACACTAAGCGACTTGTTAAGCTTAGCCTTTTTAAGCACCGGTGAAGGAATATTACCGCTGGTTTCCTTTAATGGTACTCTTTGTTGATTTAGGGGTGTAGCGGCTAATGAATTCATGCTTGTAGAGGGTCTTTTCTTGATGGCTTGGGAATTGATATTGGAATTATTATTATTATAATTAGTAGAATCCATTAGTTATAGTTTCAAGCAAACTTATCATTATAATCTTGCAAAAGAATTGGAAATTTCAAGATCTTCAATAGATTGTCAATTTAATAACAACGACTAAAACAAGCACCTGACAAAAAAAAATATTAACTTAACACAGATTATTATTAAACAATCTCAATAAAGTGCAAATATATGTACTAAAGTATCAAACAGAACTTGTCAGTACTTCTGGTGTAATAATAGTTCTATATTTGTTACGATTTTGATGATACTATTCTACGATTATTTCTTCCCGCTTGGAACGCGTACAAAATTTTGATATTTCGTGCCATTCACAATTGGATTTTTATGATAATACTAAGGAGATTAACCATAGTATATCGTGTAAAAATACTGTAAGATGCTTCAGACGAAACAAATATCCAAAGTGCTATCACAGGGATTAAAGCCAATTTCAAAAGAGTTATCTACAAATGGTGTTAATCAACCGCTTTCATTATCGTTGTTGTCTCATTCAGGATTGCCTCTAACTACTGTATCGAACCATTCGGTGGAAAAGGAAAGCTTGACAGTTGATAACTTGAAAATATATTCATTGCTAGCAATGAGCCACTTTAAAGAACCAAATAATACGGAAGAGGATGAAGTGGAGAATGCTAACAATACAAGGAAAGGGGAATCAAATTGGGCCGGAATGGCAATCAATAAGAACTTGCATTTGATTATACAAAAGGTGGAATATGCCGAAAACGTTACTAATGGGGATAACAATGAAGGAGGCGAACAAAAAATGGTACCGGAAAATGGCGAAGATAACTTGTATGTAGTTATATTCTACAAGAGTGAATTCCCACATGCAATAGCCAAGTTGAAGATTGATAATGTGTGTAATGCATTGGCTGAAGGGCTTAAGGGATATAATTGAAAACTGTAAAATACTGTTGTAAGGAGAGGATAGGGAGAAAAATCTGATTGCAACGAGTGTGATGGTCGGTTACAGGAAGGTTATACTAGAAGTAACATTGTATAATATATAAGTGTTTAATACGATAATATAACGAACACCAATAGTTGAAGCTTTCAGGTAAAGACAACAAACTTGAAAGCGCTGTAGAAATGGTGTATGGTACTGCATTAGCAAGATAATTACCTTGTGTCAAACTTACAACCAGAGTTATACATGAATATTATTGAATGCTATATAAACTAAACAACTCGGACATCATAAATAAATAATTAGTTGCTGGAATATTATAGATTAGAATTATTAAGATTGCATTAAGGTCATTTAATCATAGAAAAAAACACCTCTTATTAGCTCATTACAATAACAGTAATGACTAGGACATGGACATAAACAATGGACATAAGGTTAAGTTAGCAGCGACATATAGGCAACAATGAGAAGTCATAAATGCAAATGGAAATAGAAGGATGGTGTGATTATTTCCCAACCACATCCATGTCATCCTCCTCCTCCTCTTCTTCATCATCTTCGTCATTATCCTCCATATCATCCATCAAGCTCTCCTCATCAAAGCTCTCTTCATCAAAGCTTTCCTCGTCACTGTCGTACCAGAAATCTTCGTCAACTGGCTCCTGTTCTAAATCCTTATTATGCGAGCTACCGTTTCCGTATGCAAATAATTCCAGTTCTGGCATAATGTAATCTTCAGGGATATCAGCCTTGGATCTCTCAACCTCCTGCATCACCTTCTTCTTGTAAGCGTCGGGATTCTTCCGTAACTCAACCGATGCATCAATATTAGCAGGGGATGAAACGTTGGGGTCTTCTAATAACGAAATGATCGAAATCAACACCGACTCGACCGTCTGTGCCGGTGTCCACGTCTCGCTATCAGGCTCGTCCGATGTAGGATCTCCCCCTTGGTGCAATATCGAAATACACAACCTTCCATCTCTATAAACATTGGGGTGGTATATGGCAGGCGTGAAGCGGAATGTGGGCGGAGAAAATGGAAACTCGGAGGGAAACCTCATCTGTCCCTTGAAGTATCCCCCGTGGTACATCGATTCCTTGTTCAATACCATTATTCCAATATTCCATAAAAAAATGTTATCGTCGTCCAACTCGATGTGGAACGAAGGGATCCCCTTTTTGGGGTCTGTCAAGTCTTTAAATTGTCGTTGTAAAATCGCTGCTGCTGATTTGGAACTCATATTGACCTATTTCACTATTATTTCAATTCTATATCGGCGTATTAATTACCTGGTTGTTGATTATTAACGCAAACAAATTTTGGAGGGGCGACTTGTGATAACTAATCAAATTTTGTTAACAAATCCTCGTACTTTTTCCCGTATTTGGTATCCTATATGTATTAGAAACCTCTGATAACGTATCTAAATACTAAATACTGATAGTATTGTATGTTATTTATTGGTATATATGTCTATTGAACTTATAGTGTATTTTCTAACACAGACAACCACAACTGTTACTACTCATTTTCTGGAAAAAATTGTAAACAGAAAAGAAATAAATCGGTGTGTATACAAGCTATTATATGATTCTTACAAACGTCAGTAATGGTTCTCCCGACCATACGAGGCTTCCGAGACTACCAGAAGCGTCGTATAGGGACACCGAGACAACATAATGACCAAACACCCTACAAGGCTGAAAAAGCTTCCATGTGGAGGTTGTAGAAGACGATGCGATCGGATGGACCATTTGCGCAGAAGGCTCCGTGCGGAAAGAGGATTTTATCTATTCAACGGGAATGACTATAGCAGCTACATAAACTCAGGAATGGCACCAAGACGATGTACAGACGGCACAATTGGATTGTTTTCTGAATATTTTGCAGAAAAGACCGTCGATATCATTAGCATCGTACTAGCAAATCTGAGGTGATTACATGTGGCATCGCAAATGCATACTCGGCATTTCATTTGCACCCAAAATCAATCTAGACCATATGGTGTAAAATGAATGTGTAGTGGATGCGTAGGATATCTGGTGACGGTGAGAATATAGGTTGGCGTACGGAGAGTATCCGTTCGCTCTGCGGACACCCGGAGAGGATATAGAGTATTCGCAGGCGAGTCATTCGGGCACTTTGTGGCCAATAGACGTGACGGACGGGCAAGATGCTGGGGTAGTAGTGCACTAGATACCACATATGCTTACAGAGGAAATGGCATCGCAACGGGAGTCTGAACAGGAGCCAGGAAAAGAGTCTGGAAAGGAGCCTTGTGGGGAATACAAATTTTCATCGACGATTAGAGTCAAGACCGGTGCTCGAAAGGACTAGAACGACTTGCGACGTTTCATATTGATTCGTTTTGCGCATGAACTGCAATTGCCCAAACGACTCCAAACGCTTATCTCCACAACTAACAAACTATCTCTGATCTAAAACTTCCCAGCATTATCAGTCATCCAGGTCTGCTCTTGCTAAAATCGTCAAGGATCTAGTATCTTTGTACTGCGTTCTCACAGAGTACGATTGCGCATGCCAATGTTTTCAGTGAACCAGAAATAAACTAGGCTCCTTGTTGCCCGTGCGTGGCTCATGGCATTTACCATTAGATACTATGGGTTTGGCTCCGTACCTCCGTACTTCCGTAGCATGAAGAAGACTATGTAGGGCATAGATAAGACACCCTTCGCTTATATAAGCACGACCAATGATAATAGGTCCGATTACATTGACTAATTTTTGGGACACTTATGTTGGGAGACGATATATGCCAGATGCTATTGTCGGGGCTTATCGTAGTATGTAGCAGGAATAGAGTGTACCAGTTTCAGGTGGAAAAAATAATGGGTGCCGTGATAGTGTAGAACAATCGGTGAGGGTCGACGCATTTATTAGGCGCTCACCAGAGTTACGATAACCAGAATTGGTACTTCTTTAATATATACTTAGACTAAGCATTTAGATATTAGAGTATACACAATGGATTTTGAAGAGCAATTAGAAAAGGCTGAGAGACTCCCTACGCCGTCATTAGTGGGATCATCGATCAGATCAGCCGATGATTCGGCGCATAATAATTATATTCATCCAGAGAAGTCGAAGGGGAGAAAGAAAGAAAACCCCCAAGGACACGGTATATTGAATCAATCAATTGCGGCTTCGTTGGACGATTTGATGCGGGAAGGAGCATTGTTGGGATCAGAAGAGGACTTTGAGGAGGTTTTAGACGATTCTGGAAACGTTAAACAAGATGCTAAATATGCTGGAGAAGATGGTCATGCAACGAATAAATCGCACCTTAGTACGCTTGTAATGAAAGGAGATAATTTAGACGAGTCTGATGATGTTTCTGCCGACAAGGACGAGAAATCTGGAAAAGCTGTGGACAAAAAGTCGGAAAAGGGCGATAAGAACGCAGTTTCGAAGGCGGACAGCGAGAATAATGCTTCTGTTAAGAAGGCAGACGAAAAATCCGGATCGAAAGAGCAAAAAGCAGGTAAAATAGAAGAGAAGTTGTCTGCACCAGCGCTGGAAAAAAACCCAGGTGTTTCCTTCTATAGCCAGGAAGATTATTCCACTCCAAACTTGTCAGAATATCAATTGGACCATCAAATCAATGATCACAAAGATTTGTTGACTAATATCCAATCTCATGATCCTCAACGTTTGCCAAATTCACAATCAGACTACGTTCACGACGATGATTCATATTTCAAGAGACCAGTTTCTCCATCTAAAAGAAGTAACACTTCAGCAGTGAATAGGTTTAATGATGATGTGACTATCTCTGCTGGTGCGACCGATGGGTTACATACTCCATATTTCCAAAGGGATTCGAGATCGCAATCTAGATCTGGTGCAAGCCGCCTGGATAGATCAAGATCCAGGTCGGCAGTTGCTCCACATTTAGCTAGAGGGGATTCTTACAAGAATACAAATATGAACGAACCTTCTGCATATGAATTGCCTCCGGGTTTGGCAGCATCTGAAATAAAAAGTGAAAATGAAGAAGAAGAAGTTGAAGAAGATGAAACACAAGATAGAAGATCCAGACAATCTAAGCCAACTATGGGTGAATCTATCGCTGCAGCAGAAGCTTCTAAGGACAAATTGCCGACTACAGATCCCATTCCCATGCAGAGAGATACATCATTGGTTACTACTGGAGACTATACTAATTTCGACGTGGACAAGCCGGAACCTCAAGTTCAAGACTCGTCTAACTTATATTCCATGAGATCTGCTTCGTCAACTAATTATTTGAGATCCATTTCGAGATCAAGGTCCAGACAACCTGATAAAGATTTGAGGGCATCCAATTTATATAATGAGAAGAATGATGCTGACCCTGAAGAGTTGGTCAAAGGTGGGGCCTTAATTAATGAAGATCCATATTCTACAATAGGTGGTTTGGATACCATGGTAGAAGAGGTGTTAAATCCTGTTATTGATAATTCGGAACCAAGCAAGAATAAATCTAATTCTGAAGAAAAGCCTGCCGATCGTGATGTAACAAAAAAAGATGATACGAAGGAGGTGATTTCAACCGATGATAAGGATAAGCCTAATTCGAAAACTTTGGATTCTACAATGAAGGATGATAAGCTTGGAGGCATTATAAGTAAAGATGATGCTGCAAAACCCGTAGATAATATGTCTTCAGTTACCGAAGATGAAACAAAATCTAATGCCAATGATAACCAAATCAAAAAGAGCGATAAAAAAGATGATGTTGATGTCAAAGCAATTGAGCAAATTGAGTCAAGTTTAGAATCTAACGACTCAATTCTTGATAGAGCACAATCTCTTACCTCAGATGACATACATGGCGATTCATCTGAAGCCAACACCAGATTTGCAGATTCAATTATCAATAAAGATAGGGAAGCCAAAACCGATCTGAAAGGTGATAAGAATAGTCTTGATAATGCTGCGATTGACCAAATTGAAGCGAGCATCGACTCAAAAGATGAAGTTGTTGAAAAAGCTGAACTGCTTACTGCAGAGGATATTCATGGCAAGACTGGGAAATCCGAAAACGAAGCTTCAATAAGTAATAAGAAGGACACTACTAAGACAGATCCTGAAAATTCGGAGAGTGTTAATACCACAGGAACTGAAAAAATTGAATCGAGTATAGGTTCTAAGGACTCAGTCGCAGAATCAGCAGAAGCACTTAAGTCGAAAGATATCAATATTGAGATGAAGGATACCAAAGATAAGATTGTGAATGAAATCGTAACACCAGATAAGCAAAACAAGAATGCTAACGCGAAAGAAACAGATCAAGTGAAGCCTGATCAGTCAAAAGATTCTACAGTTGAAAAAGTCAACTCTAAAAGTATAATAACAGAGTCTGATGAATCTGATAAGTCTCCTAATGTGCATGCCTCATTAGGAGATGCTAAGGAGGTTACGGAAATAGAAAAAGAAAAAGATAGCACAGTTGAAAAAAATGAGCCTCGTGTTGATTCTGCAAGAGATACAAAAGAAGAAGTAAGCAAGAAAGATGTGGACTATAAAGCTATTGAGCAGATCGAGTCCGATACTAAGTCCAGTGATATGGTAACTGAAAAAGCGACGTCGCTTACTGCAGATGATATTAATGCAGATTCCACCTCTAAATCTAAGTCTGTCATTGATGACACAGTCACTGAAAAACAAGAGGTAGACAAGAAGGACGTAGAAGATAAAGCTGCCGAGCAAATTGAATCCAGTATTGATTCCAATGATGCAGTTACTGAAAAGGCGAAGTCGCTTACTGCGAACGATATCACTGCCGATTCTACTTCTAAGACTAAACCAGCCCCAAATGAGGCAGTTACAGAAAAGGATGAAGAGACAAGCAAGAAGGATGTGGAGGATAAAGCTGCTGAGCAAATTGAATCCAGTATTGATTCCAATGATGCAGTTGCTGAAAAGGCGAAGTCGCTTACTGCTGACGACATAACTGCTGATTCTACTTCTGAGACCAAATCAGCCCCAAATGAGGCAGTTACAGAAAAAAACGAAGATACGAGCAAGAAAGACATGGACGGGAAAGCTGCTGAGCAAATTGAATCCAGCGTTGAATCCAATGATGCAATTGCTAAGAAAGCGAAGTCTCTTACTGCAGATGATATTGTAGCTGATCCCACCTTTGAAACTAAACCAGTAACTGATGATACAGTTGCCGAAAAGGAGAAGTCTACTGATGATGCTGATTCGTCTTCTAAGGTTGTCACCAGTGGTCCGGATGGGGAGAAGGACAAAGAAACCAAACCGTCCGATCTTAAAGATACGGAAGTTTCTAAAAAGTTGGAAGCAAAAAAAGAAGTTCCGGTTACACCATCAAAAGATGTGGCTGCTGCTCCAGCAGCCTCAACAACTATAGATGATGATTTGAGCGACATTGATGTATCTCCTGAGGAGTTACGCAAACATTTAGAATCTCAACCGGTCTACATTTTCACGTCATTAGCTGGTGGTATGCAAATTATGACAAGAACCAACAGATTAACGACTATATTAACTGCCAACGGTATCAAGTTTGAATATCGTGATTTAGGTACTGACGAAGAAGCCAAAAAGATTTGGAGAAGACAAGCCAGTGGTAAGACATTGCCGGGTGTTGTAAGAGGAGATGATTATATTGGTAATTGGCAAGAAGTTGATGAAGCCAACGAAGAATACAGGCTCAGGGAGATTCTCTATGAAACCTTATGATCCGATAGGAAATTACTCTTCTTTCTAATACTTTGTATGTGTGTGTGATTATTTATGTTAGTTAAGCTCGTCTAAATTATTTTTTTATTTTTCACTCGTAAGTCTCACCCAAAAAAAATTACGTGGTATCGAGATCAACTGCTAATAAAAAGTCGTAATAGAAATCGTAATTGAATACTTTAAGTAAATATACTTATACAAGCTTATCTTTAACATAGATATCCTATCAATATCGGAATTGTCTTGCTTGTATTCATATTTGTGTACCTGTTAATTAGTTATCCTGCTGCTTTATAATTAAGCATTGCCCATTTGTTGTATCACTGATTTACTTAATCAAAAACTGTTGAATATGTCCACTCCTGCTGAAATTATTGCTGCTCGTGTTAACGGAATTAGTAATTCTAACGAAGAACATGAAATCTTGAATGCTGAATCGCCAATTCAGGTCTCGTCTGATTCTGACGACCTTAATTCATTCAACGAAAGCGAAGCTTCGTTGACAACTTCGACACCTTCAATTTCGGATGATTCTGCATTCCCTACTTTAGGAGGCAAGAAGTCATCGATTCTGTCGTCTACGCCATCGTGGGGACCTGCCATGAAGGCACCAAAGTCTGTTTCTGCATCGCCTTCTGCTACTAAGGCTACATCTGCTATTGGAACTGGTAAATTCAAAGGATCGACCATCCAAGAAGCATTTTCATTGGACTCTGAAGACCAGTTAAATGTTGCCAGGCCAGAATTTATTAAGATTCTTACTGCTGTGAAGGCTGATACTAAAACCAACATCGAATGTACTACTTCTCAACATACAAAGAAAAGAACGTTCTTGATTACTGGTAAACCAGAAGAAGTTAAGTTAGCTAAGAGATTAGTCATTAAGAAATTAACCAAGCCTGTCAAAATCACGTTCAATGTTCCTGCTAAACTTAGATCTAAGATCATTGGCCCTCAAGGTCGTACTTTAAAGCCAATTATTCAATCTAATGAAGTTAAGATTGATATTGGTCACCCTGAGGAGTCCCAGGAGACTGAAGCAGAGGATGACATTTTTGCACAAACTGTCAGAGTCACTGTTGAAGGTGATGTTGAAGGATGCAAACATGCCAAAGCCCTGATTTTAGCTATTGTCAAGGAAGAAACTAAGACTTTATCTACACGTTTAGCTATTGAAGACATTGTTAAGCCATTTGCCGGTAAAGTTATTGATCCTATTGTTCAAAGATATTCCGATTTAGATATTTCTGTTCCAGACTATAAGTCTTCTAACTCTAACATTCATATTGTTGGTGATAGGGAATCTGTTATAGAAGCTAAAGAACTGATCAAAGAAGCTTTAGATGCATTGTCAGGTAAGATACTCGTCGAAGAAGTTCCAATTCCGAAAACTAAGCACCAGTTCTTGCCTATTGACTCTATCTTAGAAGAGAACAACGTTTTAATCAAATTACCAAGTCACGATGAAACGAACGTCAAGTTTATTGGGGAAAAGAAGAATATTCCAGCTGCCCAAGAAAATGCCAGAAAAACGACATCACAATATAAAGTTGAAGTTTTAGATATGTCTAAAGCACATAAGGGTAACATGAATCACGTTAAGGCTGTTGCATCATTGTTAGTTAAAAACGGTACCTTTAAAAGCATCTCTGAAGCTAATGATGTTGTGATTAATGCACCATCAAAGAAACAGTTGGAAGAAGAAGAAGCGACTACAATTCCAATTGAGATTGTCTTGAAGAACGATGATACCGAAAAGGCTAAAGTTACTAGAAAAGCGATTGTTTCAGTTGTCAACAAGATTTCGCCAGATTCAACCAAGGTTATCAATGATATTGCAGAGTTCTTAATCAGAAAAGTTCCATCTACAATTGATGTAGTTGCTGCTCAGAATAATGTTTCATATGTCATTTTAGGTAATACTATCACTTTATTCTCGAAAGTTGAAGACGAGTCGGATGATTTTGATTTCGTAGATTCATCTAACTCATCGGACTCTTTTGCTGCAATTGACAATTCACTTAATAAGTTAAGAGAATTGAGTTCCGATTTGCATTCCGTTGTTTTAAAGGTTCCTTACAATCAACAGACTGAAGTGTCGGGACCAAAAGACACTACTTTGAAAGCAATCTTATCTGGAGTTGAGCCAAATTCAGTTGTTGTCAAATTGCATTCAAATGCTTCAGGTAAGTCTGCAGATGAAATTTATATTCACGGTATTAAGTCTGCTGTTTCTACAGTTCAAAAGGATATTGAAGCCACTTTGAAGGATGCAGAAACCTATAAAGAGCAGGGTGGTTTCAAGACCTCCATTGAAGTTCCATCATCAGTTTTGTCAAGATTGATTGGTAAGAATGGATCAAACATGATTAGTTTGAGAGAGCAATTTGGCGTCAAGATAGATGTTAGCGATGATGGAAAACAAGAAGGAACTAAGGACAAGAATGATAAAACCGAAATTGTCATTTCTGGTAATAAAAGGAATGCAGAGGAATGTAAGGCATCAATTGCTCAATTTTCTAAGAAGTGGGCGGATGAAACTTTAGCAAGATTGAGAATTGAAAGTCAATACCACAGAAGAATGATTGGTCCAAGCGGTGTTTATATAAATAGATTACAAGACAAGTATGATGTCAAGATCAGATTTCCATCTGTTGATAATGCTCCTTCAACTTTTGCAGACGCCCCAAAATCTAAGGATGAGGTCACTATTAAGGGACCATCTAAGGGTGTTGCTAAAGCAGAAGAAGAATTAAAGGAGTTATATCAATTTGAAAAAGAAAATGGATTTAAGGAAACTATGCAAGTACCAACTAAAGCCATCGCCAGAGTTATTGGTAAATCTGGTGAAACAATCAACGATATTGCTGACGGATGTGGTATTGAATATAAATTCAATAGAGATAACGACAACGAAAGTGAAGTTGGATACACTGAAGTTGAATTAACTGGTTCCAGATCAGCCTTGAAAGAAGCAACAAAGAAGATTCAAGAAATTATTGACGAAGCCGAAAGCTTCACTACTGTCACAATCAACGTTGATCCAAAGTATCACCGTGAGTTAATTGGACAAGGTGGTTCAGTTATGAAAGAAATTATTGCCAATGCAGGTGGTGAAGATGTCCCAAGAGCGAAGTATTTCAGATTGTTATCGATTCCAAATGAAGGATCTGGTTCAGACGAAGTTACATCTCAAGGAGATAAGACGATTGTCAATAAGGTTATTGAGCAAGTAAAGAAGATCGTTGCCACTAAAGAAGCCTCGGTCATCGTTGAGTACGATTTACCAAAAGAAAAGCATAGATTGATTGTTGGACAAGCTGGTTCTATTCGCCATGCATTGCAAGATGAATTTAAAGCTGAGATTGATATTCCAAGACCAAGTGATGAATCAACCACAATTAAGTTAGTTGGTTTACCAGAACAGATCGAAGGTTTAAAGGCTAAGATTGAATCATTGACTAAGGACGACTGGAATGTTTCAATTGATATTCCAGAAAACTACCATGCATTGGTTTCAGAAAAGGGTGCTATTTTCAAGAAATTACAAGCGGACTACAATGTTCAAGTCCAACACGGAAACTTGACTAGAAAAGCGTCAAAGTTATCTAGCGCCCCAATTCCTACTCCATCGGAATCTGCTTACCCAACAGAAGACGAAAAGACAAAATTCACGGTTGTTCCAAATGACCAAGTTTCAGGTGGCTCCGATGTGATTCCATGGAGATTGAAGGGTGACGAAAAGGACACGAAAAAGGCTGCCACATTAATCCAAGAAAGATTAGAAAATGCCAAGAACGCCACTTCTATTGGCTGGTTGTATTCTCTGAACCCCTCATCCTTCTACAAGGTTGTCGGATCTCAAGGCTCCAAGATTAATGATATCAGAAAGAAGTCGAGCACTTTTATCACCGTTCCTAGAGCTAACGATAAGAATGCTAATTTTATCTACTTAGTCGGTTCTGAATCCAACTTAGACATAGCTAAAGAGGCTATCGAAGCCTTGCTCAAATAAATGAACAAGAATTCACTGCATAAATAGCTATACTATTCATATTTCTATATATTTTCTACATAAATCTATAACGTATTTTTTAATCACTTGTACTTTCCTGCCACTATTTTTTAGCGAACAATAAAGCGCCGATCTCAATTCATAGTCAGAAATCTCTCCGCCCGTCCTCTCTTGTCCATTGGTATCTATCTTGTTATCGTCGTATATACTGTGGCCATTTGCAGCTATACATTATCCCACGAGACCGCTCCGAGTGCCAACTAACGGTTTAGTGAGCAATCACGTGCAATTGTGAAATTGCAACCATTCGCTACTGCAGGCAGAAGCTTATTGATTTCTTTCTGCAAAATTAGACTCTAAGGGATCTAGTCGGATCAATTGATCAGCATGAGGCAATAGGAAGTTGTGGTTTCCGTAGTTTGGTAGATTTAAGCTTCTGTCGTATAGTAATACGTACGGCTAAACCAATACTGTGTATCTCGTGATATTATGTCAAGCGTCCAAGGTGAAAATAACGACGGACGGAGCGGTATCGGTTGTGGCATCGAAGAAGAAATGCCGTATTTTTTGACATCCGAGGGTTTGTCCGATCACATTTGTACTGAATTAATGCGGCATTCTGGAGCAAACGGTTCTGAGATCCGACCGAGGCTTGCAGTATATATGATTCTTTTTTATGGGACCGAAAAAGAAATTGCCTTAGTATAAAATCCTATTAAAAGTATCTAAAATCTCTAAAGTAGATTCGTTGAACTAATATTCTAAGTTTTAAACCACCTCCAAGCTAATAAGTGTTGAGAAATATTGAGAGCTAATAGTCGTAGCAAATAAACAATTGATCGATGGGGCTTACAGATTTCTATAAGAAGCTGTCTTCGGCTGAAGAAACGAACGATAACAGTGAGACTGTTTCGTACAACTCGAGTAATGACAAAGAAGCAGCAGTTGTTCAATTAGATCAAAACAAGAAGGAAATAGGATACTT